TCCTTTACCAAGGTAAGGATGGTCTCTTTCAGTCTTAGTTTTCAGACACTTTGTTGTTATTTTTAAGTTTTAAAGAATAGTTGTTGAATGTTATCATATGCTTTTCAAACATCTGTTGGAATTACCCTGTCATTTTTCTTTGATCTGTTAATATAGTAATTAGTAGTATCTTTTCTCATTTTGAACTGTGCTTGTTATTTTAGGCTAAATACTTGTTAGCATTCACACTTTCATTTTGTTTTCAAATCTTATTCTTTTCTCTACCCACACTACAAAAAAATGTTAAAGGCAATCTTTCAAGCCCAAGTAAAATGATACCAGATGGAAATACGAATCTGTAGAAAGGAATTAAAAGCTCTGGATTGGTAACCACATGAGTAAATATGTGATAGTCTCACTCTGTCATCCAAGCTGGAATGCAGTAGTGTGACCATGGCCCACTGCAGCCTCAACCTCCTAGGCTCAAGCAGTCCTTTCACCTTAGCCTCCTGAGTAGCCAGAACAACAAGCATGCACCACCACAGCCTCTAATTTTTTCTAGAGGCGGGGGTCTTACTATATTGCCCAAGCTGGTCTTAAACTTTTGGGCTCAAGTGATCCTCCTGCCTTGGCCTCCCAGAGTGATGGGATTACAGGTGGGAGCCACCATTCTGGGCCATGTGAAGTTTTAATATATGCAAAATTAAAGTGTATGTTAAAATAGCACAAAGGTCTAGGGGGAAAAATGGAAGTTATACTATTGTATACTTTACTATGCACGAGGTGGCATAATATTACTTGAAGATAAACTGTGAAAAGTTAAAGATGTACAAGTATAAACCTAAAGCAACCAATAAGAAAACAGAATTACAGCTTATTAACAAGGAAAATAATAAAAAATAATTAACAAAAATATGTGCAGAAAAGAAAGAACAGTCAAGTAGAAAACAAATATGAAGCTAATAGCTTTAAACCTAATCATATCACAAATTATATTAAATGTAAATGGTCTAAACACCCAATTGAAAAGCAGAGATTATCAGACTGGATACAACCACATGCTGCCTACCCACTAAAGATGCCACTTAAATATGAAGATGCATACAGACTAAACAAAAAAGGTTGGAAGAGGATATACCATGATAACACTAATCAAAAGAAGACAGATAGTAATATCAAAGTAGATGTCGGAGAAGAGAATATTATCAGGGGTAAATAAGGGCATTTCCTAATGATAAAAGGGTCAATTTATCAAAGATCTACCAAATAACATAGTTTCAAAATACACAGGGCAAAAACTGACAGAACTACAAGGAGAAATAAATCCACAGTAATATTCAGGGATTTCAGTATCCCTTTTTGAACAATGATAAAAGAAGTAGACAGAAAATCAGTAAGGATATGGAAGACTTGAACAGCACTGTCAACCAAATTCATGTAATGGCCATTTATGTAACACTCTATCAGCAACAGCAGTGCTTTTTAAGTGTACACAGAACCTTGATTTCAAGGTTTATAAGGCTGCAGTCATCAAGACAGTGTGGTGGTAGCATATAAATAAGCAAACTGTTTAGTGGAACAAATAGACTAGGAGTCAACCTACCTTTTGTTTTCATAAAGTACTGTTAGAACACAGCCACTTCTGTTTGTTTATGTATTTTTTTTGGTTGCTTTTATGTCACAACAGTAGATTGGTAGCTCCAATAGAGACCTCAGGGCCTAAAATATTTACCCCCTAGCTGTTACATGAAAAGCTTGCCCACCCTGGAATTAAGAGTACCCAAATAGACCCACACCTATGTGAACAACTGATTTTTAACAAAGGCACAAAGGTAATTCACTTGATAAAGGATAGTTTTTTCAAAAAATAGTTTTGAAACAATTTTCCGTATGTACAAAATGAACTCTAATTCCAGCTTGACACCGTACATAAATATTAACTTGAAATAATTGAGACCTAAATGATCCTGAAACTGTAAAAATTGTAGGAAAAAAAAACCTTTGTGACTTTATTTTTATTTTTTATCTTTTTTTTGGGGGGGGCGGTGGAGTCTTGTTCTGTCATCCAGGCTGGAGTGCAGTGGCACTATCTTGGCGCTGCAACTCCCGCCACCTGGGTTAAAGTGATTCTTTTGCTTTAGCCTCCTGTGTAGCTGGGATTACAGACATGGACCACCATGCCTGGCTAATTTTTTTTTTTTTTCTATTTTAGCAGAGGCAGAGTTTCACCATATCGCCCAGGCTGGTCTCAAACTCCTGAGCTCAGGCAGTCTGCCCACTTCGGCCTCCCAAAGTGCTGGGATTTACAAGTGTGAGCTACCACGCTGGGCCCTTTGTGATGTTAGATTAGGCAAAGACTTCTTAGGTACATCAAAAACACAAATTGATGAACTGAACTTTATTAAAATTAAATCTCCTGTTCTTCAAAAGACACTGTTAAAAGAATGAAAAGACAAGCATACAAGAAAATAATGCATAAATCTATTTTCTAATAAAACCCAGAGTATCTTCTTAGAACTTTCAAAATTTAATGAGAAAACAGGAAATCCAGTTGATCAATATGTTTGAACAGACACATCACCAAAGAAGATATAGCCAAGCACACACCTGCCATGGGGTCTAGCCATGCCACTCTTCACTTGCCTTCTATTTTGGGGCACAAACTATGTGTTAGCTTCCTAGGGCTACTATAATAGAGCATCCCTTTGTTACAGTATCCTTTATCTGAAATGCTTAGTGACAGAAGTATATTGGATTTTGGATTTCTTTTAAATTGTATTATATATTTATAGTTGAGCATCCCAAATCCTAAAATCTGAAATCCAAAATGCAAGAGCTCAAGAAGTTTTGGAATTAGAGCATTTCTGTTTTCAGATTTGGGATGTTCAACCCGTACCACAAACTGGGTGGCTCAAAATAAATCTATTCTCAAGGTCTTGGAGGCTAGAAGTCCTTTTGAGACTGGATAGAATCTTCCTTTGCCTCTCTTAGCTTTTGGTGGTAGCTATCAGTCTTTGACATTCCTTCGTTTACAGCTGCATAACTCCAGCTTCTGCCTCTGTTGTCACATGGCATTCTTCCTGGCACTGTCTCTTTAAATACACCAGTCATATTGTACTAAAGGCCTACTGTAACATCTAATTAAATCTGTAAGGGCCATATTTCCACATAGGGCAACATTTTGTGGTACTGAGGTTAGGACTTCAACATATTAGGGGAGCAATTCTGCCCATAACAAACAGCAAGAAAATTAAGTTAATTATGTTGTATTTAGAACAGGGGTTAGCAGACTATAACCCATAAACCAAATCCAGCTTGCAGCCATTTTTTAGATAAAGTTTTATGGGAATGTACTTATGCCCACTTATTTACATATTGTATATGGCTGCTTTTGCACCTTTGTGTTTGTGTGTGTGAGGGACTGAGTCTCACTCTGTTGCCCAGGCTGGAGTGCAATGGTGCTATCTTGGCTTGCTGCAACCTCTGCCTTCCAGGTTCAAGCAATTCTCCTGCCTCAGCCTCCCAAGTAGCTGGGATTACAGGCATGCACCACCATGCCCAGTTAATTTTTTTGTATTTCTGTAGAGACAGGGTTTCACCATATTGACCAGACTGGTCTTGAACTCCTGACCTTGTGATCCACCCATCTCAGCCTCCCAAAGTGCTGGGATTACAGGCATAAGCCAGCGTGCCCGTCACTTTTGCACTTTAATACTGGAGTTAACTAATTGTAAGAGAGAACTTAAAGCCTGCAAAGCCTAAAATATTTATTATCTGGCCCTTTACAGAAAATGTTTGCCAGCCTATTTTAGACGGTGTTAAGCACTGTAGAAAAAAAACCAAACAAACAGGAAAGGAGCATAAGCAACACAGGGTGGTTAGGGAAGATCTCTATGAAGAGGTGAATTTGAGCAAAGGCTACAAGGAATTATTCTTTATGTATTAGGACGATGTCCACTATGTAGTGTTAACTGAAAAAAGTTATAAAACATTTCTCACTTACATGATTCCATCTTTGTAAAATAGGAAAGTGTATATTTATACAATATAAAGTTATATAATACATGTCCAGGAAATTTTGCAAGAATATCTACCAAAATGTTCATAGTAGTTATCTCTTGGTGAGATTATAGTGCACTTTCACGTGGCATTTTTTGCATTTGTTTTCATTAGGTATTTAAAAAATATTTTAATAAATTCTTATGTGTTATTAAATTATATCAAAGGCTTAATGTGTATGAAACAATAATGGAAGATTCAGCACCTTGCCTAAGTTTGAAGTTTACTTGTATTTCAAAGAGGAGCCACTAGTACTTAAGCTAGAATTTAAGTGAGCAAATCTTAAAATGGATTTTTATCTCTGGGTACATTTAGCAGGCTTAATTTAGTGCTAGTAGAAGAAAAAAGATGTGATTGTAAGAACTTCTGTCATAAATGTTCATTTCATGTTTCTATGACATTATATACACATCAGGGAAGTTTGCATTAGGTGTGGGTGAGCCAATAATATTTGCAAGTGTATATCAAATCATAGCACTAGGGCTGGGCACTATGGCTCATGCCTGTAATCCCAACACTTTGGGAGGCTGAGGTGGGCAGATCCACTTGAGCTCAGCCTGGGCAACATGGTGAAACCCCATCTCTGCTAAAAGTGAAAAAAAAAAAAAAAATAGGTAAGCTTGCTGGTGCCACCTGTCATCCCAGCTACTTAGGAGGCTGAGGTGGGAGAATTACCTGAACCCAGGAAGTTTAGGCTCCATGAGCTGTGATTGTGCTACTGCACTCCAGCCTGGGTGATGGGAGTGAGACTGTGTCACCAAAAAAAAAAAAAAAAAAAAAGCACTAGGATATTTGAATACTCTTATACAAGTATTTACGGGTTTATTTTATTCTGAAGGTCTGAAGATACCTGAAGTGGGATATCTGCAAAACCAAAAGCCTAAGAGTAGACAGGAGTTTTAAAATACACATATAAAATTATCAAAGCCAGCCTTCTGAAAAAGACTGTCCTCTCTTTATAGTGAAACTCAATGGAAAAAGCATGACATTTAGAAGCAGAGGACTTAGCTTCAAATCCCTGCTCCTTCACTTACTAATTTTGTGATTTGGGTAAGTAATTGGTCTCATCTGAATTTTTTTTTTTTTTAAATAAAGTTCCAGTAAATAATCCCTGCCCCACTCACCTAATTCTTTAGGATATTAGGTGACTACAGTGAAATAATTTATGTGAAAACATTTTGTGTAACATAAAATAGTATCCTATGAACTCATAATTGGTACTGATGGAAGAGAACAGTGTGTGGATAATTTAAAAACTAATTTAATAATTAGTTAATTTAGCATAGGTATTAACCATCTTCTGGTAGATTTAGTCACAGTAACGTTGTACTGTGACAGATATATAGAAATTTTCCTCATCCTGATCCCCACTCAACTTATTCATTCAGCAATCATTATTTTGCCTTCTGTTTGGCAATTTTAGTTCATGTACTGTTCTACAATTGTAATACAGTTTATATTGACATTCTTCTTCACATGCATTGTAAATCCAAATAGTCATGCTTTTTATTCCATCCTTAGGTTAAGTTAGAAAACGAAAAAAAATCACAATCCATAGGTGACAAAAATAATTTATGAAGAGCACAACCATTAAATATTTATCAATTGTAACTCTACTGCTTTTTCTCCCACTTGAGACAATTATGGAAATGAAAGTAAATGAAAATGAAAAACTATAGGGATAATCTTGAATTTTTTCTATTTTGAGTAAATCATTTATAAACTTTGTTTCAGTAACATTAAAAGTAGCAATACCTGTTATATATCGTCTAGCTCCTTTCAGCATACTACCATGTTAAGTCACCATAGTTGAGGAATGATTACAGCATTTGATTCTCAGAGCTAATCTTTCCTGTTTTTATGGTTACTAGTTAGGTTTTGGCTTCATAGAAGCTTTTCAAGTAACCTGCAGATATCAAGGAAAGTTAGTGTATGCAATGTATGGTTATAATATATGCATAGAAAATTCTGCAAGAGGTAAGGCGATAGTGCTATTAATAGAATTTTAAATTAAATATTAGATCAACAGAAGGAAAAGAGGGAAAAAATAAGCAAAAGGCTGTCAATTCTGTCAGTTTTTTAAACAAGCCCCAAATGAAGTTAACTGTATTGCATATAATATTTTATATAATGTTATTGTGTCTTCATCTCTTAAGTTTGGACTATGAAATCAAGTGCTGTAATAGATGTTTCTTCATCACCTCTCCATGACAATCTTTAAAAGTTAGGAAAGTTTACTTTGTCTGGTTGCCTTTATTTGTATTCTGTGATACTACTGAAACAAATCTAATTGCTTTGAAGTAATTGTAAATTCTTTCATGGACCTCTTGTTTTAGAGCAGCTTTGTTGCAAGAATATAGTACATTTGGCTTGGCATAGTGGCTTAAACCTACAATCCCAGCACTTTAGGAGGCCAAGGAGATTGTTTCAGGCCAGGAGTTTGAGACCTGCCTGGGCAGCAGAGTGAGACTCCTGTCTTTACAGAATTTTTTTTTTTAAATTAGCTGGGTGTGCTGGAAACCTGTTACGTATAAAAATTTTTTAAAATTTTGTTTTAACAAAACCGTGTTAGGGAGTGCATAAAGTCAAGTTAGTAGGTATATTTAATAAAATAATATTGTGTTCCAAGTATAGAATCATTTCTCATCAAGAAGAGTTAATAGTTTTATTCAGGAGAAAAAAACGACATATTTAGTATTTTGTCTTTAATAATTTTAGCTTTTATTTTAGATTCAGAGAGTACATGTGCAGGTTACATGGGTATATTGTGTGATGCTGAGATTTGGAGTATGATTGAACTGTCACCCAGTTAGTGAGCATAGTACCCAATAGTTAGTTTTTCAACATTAAGTATTTATTTATTTTTATTTTTTGAGATGGAGTTTTGCTGTGTCACCCAGGCTGGAGTGAAGTGGGGCCATCTCTGCTCATTGCAACCTCTGCCTCCTGGGTTCAGGCAATTCTCCTACTTCAGCCTCCTGAGTAGCTGGGATTACAGGTGCCCAACACCATGCCTAGCTAATTTTTGTATTTTTAGTAGAGATGGGGTTCATTATATAGGCCGGGATGATCTGGAACTCCTGACCTCAGATGATCCGCCTGCCTCGGCTTTTCAAACTGCCTGGATTACAGGCGTCAGCCACCTGCCCAGCGTAAGTATTTATTATTATTGTTTTTGAAACAAGAGTCTTGTTTCAAAGACTCTGTTGCCCAGGCTGGAGTGCAGTGGTGCAGTCTTAGCTAACTGCAACCTCTGCCTCCCAGGTTCAAGCGATTCTCCTGCCTTAGCCTCATAAGTAGCTGGGATCACAGGTGTGCGCTACCACATCTTGCTAATTTTTGTATTTTGAGTAGAGACAGGATTTCACCATGTTGGCCAGACAGGTCTCGAACTGCTGACCTCAGGTTATCCACCCATCTTGGCCTCCCAAAGTCCTGGGGTTACAGGTATGAGCCACTGCATCTAGCCAACGTTAAGTATTTTTTAATTTATATTTATTTTTTGCAAAAGTACTAAAGATTCACATGGTCAACATTGGAAGGCTACAAACTATATGGTGGAGAGTCTCCCTTCCATCTTGATCTCTCAAATACCCATTCATAGCCAGTATTTGAACTTTTATCCTCCTGGAGATACTGTATGCATATATAAAGAAACGAATGTGTGTTTTGCTTTCTTGTATATTGTTTTGCCCACAAATAATAGCAATGCATTGTTCTGTACTTCAACAATGTATTTTAGATAACTTTATGTTTCAGTACATATAGAGCTTCCTCATTTTTTTTTTTTTACATGGTTTTGGTATACCATAATTTAACTCGTGTCCTATCATAATTAGGTCATTTGAACCTTTTACGACTAAAAGCAATGCAGTGAATAACTTTGTACATGGTGTTGTTTTATTTATATCTATAGGATAAAATAAAACAGAATCATTAGATTCAAATATATATGTTGTAATTTTGATTGATATTGCCAAACTGGCTCTCTGCCTTGTTTGGGTAGGGCTTTTTTCTTTGTTTTTAATTGAGGTCTAATTTACAAACAACGAAACTGACAGTTTTTAAAGTATACAATGTCTTGGGAAGTTTATGCCAATTTACAATATAACCTGTAGTGTGTAACAATACCTTCATTGCTTAGTCTCATAACACCATGTTGATACCTTTTTGGTTTTTATATTTTTACCAACACTAATATGTAAGAATGGTATTGGGATAATTTTTGGTTTATTTACCTTTTTTTCCTAAGTACAGCTTACATACTGTAAAACAGAACTCATAAGTGTACAGCTCAGTGAGTTTATCACTGTTCAGGTCAAGATACAGAACATGGTCAGCACCCCAGAATGTCCCCTTTTGTACTCTTCCCCGCAACATACAAAAAACTGCCCTGACCTCTGTCACCAAACATGGTAGACTTTTGCTTCTTTTTGAACTTTCTATAAAAGAAATCATGCAGAGTGTACTTTCTTGCCTTCTTTACTTTTTTAAATTTTTGTAGAGTCAAAAAAAAATTTTTTGTAGAGTCAGGGTCTATTTTGTTCAGACTGGCCTCAAACTCCTGGCCTCAAGCAATCCTTCCCCCAACTTCCCAAAGTGCTGACATTACAGGTGTGAACCACTGCACCCAGCCTGTCTGATTTCTTTCATTCTGTAGTATATGTGAGATTCATCCATGTTGCATGCATCTGTTATTCTTTTTCATTGCTGTGATTCAGTTACTTTAATATACCATAATTTATCCTGATGTTAATGGATATTTGGTTGATTTTATTTTTCATCTTTTTTGGATAAAACTTCTGTAAAATTCTTGTACATGTCTTTGGAGGTATTAAGCACTCATTTCTTTTGGCTGTACCGTACTGGGCAGATTTTGTTTTTAAGGTCTAATTTATAAACAATAAAATTCATCAGTTTTTAGTTAGACAACTTGATAGGAAACCCATGGATCTTAGATTTCTGCATTTCTTATGAGCAGAATCCTGATGGCTGCCTTTTTTTCTGAACTTAGCTTTCTTTTTTTTTTTAATTGAGATCGGATCTCACTCTTATGCCCAGGCTGGAGTGCAGTGGTGCGATCTTGGCTCACTGCAACCTCTGCCTTCTGGGTGCAAGCAATTCTCTGCCTCAGCCTTCCGAGTAGCTGGAATTACAGGCAGCCACCACTATGCCTGGCTAATTTTTGTATTTTTAGTAGAGATGGGGTTTCACCATTTTGGCCACGCTGGTCTTGAACTCCTGACCTCGTGATCCACCTGCCTCCACCTTCCAAAATGCTGGAGTTTCAGGTGTGAGCCACCGCACATGGCCTTAGCTTTTAAAGAATGTTGGAAAGTAGGCTCTCAGAGCCATGGAGCAAAGGGCAGGTTTGCTTATAGTCTTCAAAGATAGAGATAATGTCCCCCTCTAGAGTAAATGGCAGACACACTTCCTGCACATTTTTCAAGTTTGGGGTTTCTTAAGCTCTATCTTTTCTTTCCTGTGAAGCAGCCTGTGCAGGTGTCATCTGACTTCACAGTGCCCTGTGGCAACTGGGACTCAAGCAGCTGGTACAAGAAAATGCTGATACTCTGACTACTGTTATGAGTAATAAGGTCCTTTTTGTCTCTGACTCAAGAATGTCATGTCTTTTGTCAGTATCCATGACACTGTAGTAGGCTGAATTGTTAGTTTGAAAGTGAGGTAAAATCTCACTTTGAAATATAGGTACAGAATTCAGTGAATTTTGACAAATGTATAGTCTTGTCTTTTTTTTTTTTTTAATAGAGTCTAGAGTCTGGCTTTGTCACCCAGGCTGGAGTGACGTGGTGCGATCTCAGCTCACTGCAGCCTTTGCCTCCCAGGTTCCAGCAGTTCTGCCTCAATGCTCATGTGTAGCTGGGACTGCAAGCACATACCTCCACAGCCAGCTAATTTTTTTTTTTTTTGGGTGACAGGATCTTGCTTTGTTGCCCAAGCTGGAGTGTAGTGGCATGATCTGGGCTTACTACAACCTCCACTTCACAGGTTTAAGTGATTCTCCTGCCTCACCCTCCCAAGTAGCTAGGACTACAGGTACACGCTATCACACCCAGATAATTTTTGTGGGGTTTTTTTTTTTTTTTTTGAGATGGAGTCTCACTCTCATCTGTCGCCAGGCTGGAGGGCAGTGGCATAATCTTGGCTAACTGCATCCTCCGCCTCTGGGTTCAAGCAATTATCCTGCCTCGGCCTCCTGAGTAGCTGGGACTATAGGCATCAGCCACCACATCTGGCTTATATTTGTATTTTTAGTAGTGACAGGGTTTCACATGTTGGCCAGGCTGGTCTCGAACTCCTGACCTCAAGTGATCCATCCACCTCAGCCTCTTAAAAGTGCTGTGCCACCGCACCCTGCCAAATGTGTAGAGTCTTAAAATCACCACCACAATCAAGTCATAGAATATTTTTGTCACCCCAGATTTCCTTTACATGTGCCTCATCTACCTCAGCCCTAGGCAACCCTGGATCTGCATTTTGTCACCCTAGTTTTGCCATATCAAGAATTTCAGAGGCACAGTGGCTCATGCCTATAATCCCAGCACTTTGGGAAGCCAAGGCAGGAGGATCACTTGAGCCTAGGAGTTTACCATCTCTAAAAGGAATATACCATAATTTATCCTAGTGTTAATGGATATTTGATTGAGTGCAGTGGTGTGACCATGGCTCACTGTGACCTCGAGCTCCAGGGCCAGTGATTCTCCTGCTTCAGCCTCCTTAGCAGCTGGGACCAGAGGTATGATATGGTTTAAATCTTTGTCCCTAGCCAACCAAATCTCATGTCATATTGTAATCCCCAGTCCCGAAAACAAACAAGCAAACAAAAAGTTTCCTGTAAATAGTTATACAGTATATAGCCTGTTGTGTCTGGCTTCATTTATTCAGTGTAATGCTTTTGAGATTCATTCATACTATTGCATGTATCACTAGTTCATACCTTTTTTTTTTTTTTTTTTTTTGCTGAGCAGTATTCTATTGTATGTCTGTACCGTTGTTTGGATATATGTTTATACATTCACCAGTTGGGGGACATTTGGATTGTTTCCAGTTTGGGACTTATGAATAAAGCTGCTGTGAACATTTAAGTATGAGTCTTGGTGCGGGCCTGTGTTTTTATTTTGGGGAATACGCTCTTAGGGAGTGGAAGTACCAAGTCTTATGGTGTGCTTTTAACTTGGTAATGAACTACCAAATTGTTTATCAGAGTCTTTAATATCCTTTTGCATTTCTATCTGAATAGTTTTAATTTATATCTCTCATTTTGAGTGAAATTGAAAGCATCTTTTTTATATGCTTGATTTACTTGTATTTCCTTTTCTATAAACTATTCAAATCTTTTTGCCTTTTGTTCTATTAGGTGTTAGAAATTTTTTAATGATTTCTAGGCGTTCTTTATATATTAGGGAAAGTTTTTGGCCATGCTATGAATTACATTTTTTTCCCATTAGTCAGGTATCTTTGAAGGATACATATACAGTGAGTTTTGCCATGTAGACGTTTGTCTCTGAAGTTCTTAATCTCACAGTTATCTACTAATACAGGACTTCACATAAGGAAGAAAACAAGTTTTATCTCTTTTAATCTTAAAGTATAAGTTATGTTTTCTAGCAGTGTTTTCCATAGACATAACTTCATTGGGAATAAAGAAAAATAATGCGAAGACTTAAGTTTGTTTTCTATGTTCTCATTAGAATTTTACCACCTTTTAGAAACACAGCTACAGAATGGAAACAAGATTGTATCTTAAATTATGTGTATATAAGAGACAAAAATATTAAAAGTAATACTACATTTGTCTGTTGCAGAAATAGCTACTCAAGATGTTGATGTTGCGGACTTGGCTAGTGCAAGCCTTGTTTATTTTCCTCACCACTGAATCTATAGGTAAGGTTCATGAAATACTCTTACCTTCTAACTTCACAAATTAGGTTTGTATATTTTTATATCATTATATAATGAAGCTTATGTTTAATTATTCTTTAATTCATATATTCTTTCTAGGATAATCGAGGGAATGATATCTTAAAATGATTTTAATAAGTAAAAATATGCTTGATAATCTTTTTAAATATAATTTGAGTTGTAACAGTCATTCAGTAATCAAATGCTGTGTATTGATACTAACAATAACTTTAAAATGGGGAAGGAAAAATATGTGTGGCTTTTTTTTTTTCCGGTAAATGGATAGGAGAAAATCTGTTAAATCTTGTTAAATTTTAAGTCATTCATACTGCGTGTTCTTCAAGTATTAAAGGGCTGCTTTCCTGTGTCTGTTTCCTGTTCGGTAACTCCCCAAACTACAGTTACCCAGTTATCCAGTCTCCTCACTACCAGTCCCCACTTTCAACACTGGGGATTACAATATGACATAAGATTTGGATGGGAACAGATTCAAAGCATATCACGCCTCTAGGCCCTCTGAGTCTCTATTCAGGAGGCTGAGGCAGGAGAATTACTCGAACTCTAGAGCTCAAGGTCACAGTGAGCCATAGTCATGCCATTGTATTCTATGCTGGACTAAAGAGCAAGACCCTGTATCACAAAAAATATTTATCTGTACGTGTGTGTGTATCAGAGCCACTGTGGTCAGACTGGTTTTGGTATTACATTTATTTTTTTCCATGAAGAGCCTTTTTTAAAAAAAATTATTTTTTTAACTTTAGGTGCATACTGTATCTGGCATTTCTCCCTGTGTTATTCCTCCCCACCCCTGCTGTCTCTCCCCTACCCCCCCCAACTGCTACCAGTGTGTGATGCTCCTCTCCCTGAGTCCACGTGTTCTCATTGTTCAACACCCACCTATTGAGTGAGAACATGTGGTGTTTGGCTTTCTGTTCTTGTGTCAGTTTGCTGAGAATGATGGTTTTCGTATTCATCCAAGTCCCTACAAAGAACACGAACTCATCGTTTTTTATGGCTGCATAGTATTCCATGGTGTATATGTACCGCATTTTCTTTGTCCAGTCTATCACTGATGGGCATTTGGGTTGGTTCCAGGTCTTTGCTATTGTACACAGGGCTACAGTGAACATACATACGCATGTGTCTTTGTAGTAGAACGATTTATAGTTCTTTGGGTATATGCCCAGTAATGGGATTGCTGGGTCAAATGGAATTTCTATTTCTAGATCCTTGAGAAATCGCCACACTGTCTTCCACAATGGTTGAACTATTTACACTCCCACCAACTGTGTAAGAGTGTTCCTATTTCTCCACGTCCTCTCCAGCATCTATTTGTCTCCAGATTTTTTAACGATCGCCATTCTAATTGGCATGAGATGATATCTCAATGTGGTTTTGATTTACATTTCTCTAATGACCAGTGATGATGAGCATTAAGAGGCCAAGAAACATATGAACAAATGCTAATCATCACTGGTCATAAAGAGCCTTTTATTCAAAGACAACAACATTTATAATAAATATCCAATAACTGTCTCTTTTATAATGCTTATTGTAGCCCAGGCACTGTCCAAATGTTTTCTCTATATTAACTTATTTTTGGCTGTGTGTTATGTTTTTTTTTTTTTTTTTTTCTGAGACAGAGTCTCAGTCTGCCACCCAGACTGGAGTGCAGTGGCACAGTCTCCACGCACTGCAACCTCTGCCTCCTGGGTTCAAGTGATTCTCCCACCTCAGCCTCCCAAGTAGCTGAGACTTTTTTTGAGACAGAGTCTTGTTCTGTCACCCAGGCTGGAGTGCAGTGGGATCTCAGCTAACTGCAACCTCTGCCCCCGAGTTGAAGCAATTCTTCTGCCTCAGCTTCCTGAATAGCTGGGATTACAGGTGTGGGCCACCACACCCAGCTAATTTTTGTATTTTTAGTATAGATGGGGTTTCGCCATATTGGTCAGGCTGGTCTGGAACTCCTGATCTCAGGTGATCAGCCCATCTCAGCCTCCCAAAGTGCTGGAATTACAGACGTGAGCTATCACATCCTCCTGGTTATAATATGTGCTAATTCACATGTCTTCATTTTACCCTATAAACATTAAAAAATAACTTTATCAGATACCTTTCTTAATTAAAATACTTTCTTTTTACAATTTAATCTCCACCTGGTAGCCCTGTAAAATGGGGTTAATTTGGCATGGGATGGTTTTAGTGAAGCCGTGTCTCACTTTGAAAAACAGAACATTTGCCCATTTTTTAATATTTCTTTTATTCTATGTGATTAAAAATTAATCATATTAGGTCTCTAATTATATCTTTTGTTTTTAGTACTTTAGAGAATATTTCATATTTAATGTCCCTATAATTACTATCTCTAAAGTATAGTGATTTTACCAAAGAATAAAGTGAGGTCTAGGGAGTTGTAAGGCCCAGTATCACAGGATAACTTAGTAGAGATTCTCCAAAGGTGAAGGACCATACTATTAGAAATTGAGAGTATGCACTTAGATTTACAGTAGACATGTATAAATAATGGCAAGATGATATAAACAGGTCACATTATAAGTTTGAAACAAAGAAATACACATTCCAACTCTGGGTTTTCTAGGCTTTATGAGAGGTCCTAGGATTCCATTTGGGGGATACAATTTTGACTGCAAAGACCATTTTTAATTTTTCCTGCTGATTTTGAGAGATGGAATTAGAAAATAATTATCTAATTTTTTAAGATAGCTTTATCCTTTGTGCCACCTAGATGAGGACCAAGTTGGGAATTGGAAGAGTCTGTTAACTGAGGTTGACTTTTTAGTTATCTCAGCATTCTTTATCTATAAAAGGTTGAAGTAAATGATCTCTAAGGTTCTTTGCGCTATCAGTTCTGTTATTCTATGTCTTTTACCTTAACTGCTAAAACAGTCACCTCTGATGGACCCTTATAGACCCTATCAGTGTGACTAGATTACCTGTCTCTGGAAAGTAGTAATAATGATAGACTGCCGTTTATTGGAAGTCTGTTGAGTACCAGGCATTGTACTAAGTGCTTTACATAAATAATTTTTTTTGTTTTTTGTTTGTTTTTGTCCTCTCCATAGCCCAGGCTAGAGGACAGTCACCAGTCTGAGCTCGTTACAGCCTTGACCTCCTGGGCTCAAGCACCTACCCTAGCACCTGCCTTAGCACCCTACCCCCACCCCCAAGTAGAAGTGTCTGGGACTACAGGCAGATGCCACGATGCCTGGCTAAGTTTTGTATTTTTTTGTAGGGACGGTGTTTTGCCATGTTGCCCAGGCTAGTAATTTTTTATCTCAAAAAGACTTCACGGGTAACTACCCAGGAACCCCGCAGCAAATAGGATTCACTGAGGAAAGCCACCTTAAAATTGTGGACATTGAAGCTACAGAAAAAGAATAAAATCATGTCAAATAGTTGGGACTTTTATCTTGATAATAGGTAGTCACCGAATTATTTAATATAGACAAATGTCCTAATTATTTTAGAACGGTATCTGTGACAGTAGTATGTAAGATAAACTGGAAGGAGGTCAGGCTGATATAAATAATACAGTGCTCTGTGCTTCAGCAGTCAAAAGGTTTATTTCATTGGAAAGAAGAGATTGATATGCACATTAAGAATATAGAACCAATAAAGTGCAATATTGTTAAGTTGGAGGTTAGTGGAGGCTAATTAGAGAGAGAGGTTAGAAGATGACTACAGAGTATCTGGCCTAGATGTCTGGATGGGAGTGGTGCTGTTAGTAGAGGCAAAGAAGTAAGAATAAAAAATAATAAGTTTGAAAAGATTGCGATACATATAGTTTTGGACATGCTTATTTAAACGTAGCTCGAGGAAATCTCAGGTAGATATATGTCTAATGGGTTATTGAAATCATGGAGGAGTTAGTGCTAGAGATGGGAACTGAGATGCCATCAACATGGAATAGGTGATAGGTAAAGCATATAGTTTAATTTTTTTTTTTTACCCGATCTGATTCTTTGTGTTTTGTTTGTGTTTTGAGACTGGGTCTTGCTATGTCACCCAGGCTGGAGTGCAGTGGCTTGACCTCAGTTCACTGCAGCCTCCACCTCCCAGGTACAGGTGATTCTCATGCCTCAAACTCCCAGGTAGCTGAGATTACAGGTACCCACCACGATACCTGGCTAATTTTTGTAGAGACAGGGTTTCACTCTGTTGGTCATGCTGATTCTTTGTTTCTAAATAGGGGATCTTATCCCATGCATTTATTCTCAATCCATTGTCCAGGGTGGAGTGCAATGGTGTACTACAACCTTGACCTCTTGGGGTCAAGCGATCATCTGCCTCCAGCCTCCAGAGTAGTTGGGACTATAGGCATGCGTCACCATGCTCGGCTAATTTTTTTTTATTTTTAGTACAGATGGCGTCTCCCTATGTTGCCTGAGCTGGTTTCAAACTCCTGAGCTCAAGCGATCCTCTTGCCTCGGCCTTCCAAAAGTGCTGAGATTATAGACATAAACCACCACACACAGCTCCATGCATTTATTCTTAAAACTAAACTGTTTGGCCACCTTGTTTTATTCTTCCTGTTTTGTATTGGTCCCTTGTTGTTTCTTTTGATGTCTGAGTTTCGATGTGTGGACATATATACTGTCTGTCTGTGACCCCAACTGTACTCCACAACAGAATAGGTCATGGGGCAAGTATATATCATGTTGCAGGTAGTCTGTTTTTCTTTAAACAAACAGTTTATACCTTGGGCTAAAGCATGAATGGGTTTTTCTTAATTCAGCTCTATTATCCTTCTAATTTGCATATTTATTTACAAATTCAGGCATTAAATTCTAACCATATTGATTTTCAGTTATGTATTCTTTTTCTGTGTCTTTAGGGATATTTAAGTGAAGGTTGAGGGATTCTACATTGAGTGCTACCAGCTAGATAGCATTTTGTACCAGAAAAATTCAGTCTATTTACATATTTTCTGTTGTTCCTTTTTAGGTGAACTTCTAGATCCATGTGGTCATATCAGTCCTGAATCTCCAGTTGTACAACTTCATTCTAATTTCACTGCAGTTTGTGTGCTAAAGGAAAAATGTATGGATTATTTTCATGTAAATGCGAATTACATTTTCTGGAAAACAAACCATTTTACTATTCCTAAGGAACAATATACTATCATAAACAGAACAGCATCCAGTGTCACCTTTACAGATATAGCTTCATTAAATATTCAGCTCACTTGCAACATTCTGACATTTGGACAGATTGAACAGAATGTTTATGGAATCACAGTAATTTCAGGCTGTAAGTTTTGTTTTTGTCTTACTTCAGGCATTGTCATAACTATTGAACTGCATTTTTAATAGTGTCCTTTCATCTTCATAAAATGTAGTCACTTGTAGACTTAGTGACTTGGACATGTTTGTTTTTTAAAAAGTAAGCTTAGAAGTAGGGACTACATTTCCATTATTAATGTACCAAAGCCTAAAGAGTGATACAAGTCTCCTGTCTTCTCTGAAAGTCAAGCAGTTTTCAGTTTACTAAAGAAATATTTGACATGAGACCCTCCCTCCCACCACAAGAAAGTATTGTTGAATTGACATCTATCATGGTAACTGTCAATATCCCTTAATTGCTGAGAAAATGCACATGTAAAACAGGTACCTGAAGAAGGCAAATAAAGCTGGGTGCAGTGGCTCACGTCTATAATCTCAGCACTTTGGGAGGCAGAGGCGGGTGGATCACCTGCAGTTCGAGACCAGCCTGACCAACATGGAGAAACCCTGTCTTTACTAAAAATACAAAAATAGTCAAGCATGGTGGTGCATGCCTGTAATCCCAGCTACTTGGGAGGTTGAGGCAGGCGAATCACTTCGCAGAGGTTGCGGTGAGCTGAGATCGTGGCATTGTACTCCAGCCTGGGCAATAAGAGTGAAACCCTGTCTCAAAAAAAAAAAAAAGAAGGCAAATCAATACTGGAGTAAATCTTCTTCTTTTTTTTTTTTTTTGTAACAGACTCTCACTCTGTCACCCACTCTGGAGTCCAGTGACATGATCTCAACTCATTGCAATCTCCACTTCCCAGGTTCAAGTGATCTTCCTGCCTTAACCTCCCAAGTAGCTGGAACTACAGGCATGAACCACCATGCCTGGCTAATTTTTTGTACTTTTAGTAGAGATGGGGTTTTGCCATGTTGGTCAGACTGTTTTCAAAACTCCTGGCCTCAGATGATTCACCTGCCTCAGGCTCCCAAAGTGCTAGGATTACAGGCGTGAGCCACCCCGCCTGGCCTTGAAGTAATATAGTAAACGAAATAAACTTACTGTGATCTAAAGGTGGGTTATTAAATTTGTAGATCACCCAGACTTAACAATTTTGGCATTTGCTTTTCTTCCAGCAGAGTTGGGAATGCAATAAGAAGATAAATATAAATGAATCATTTTTGCTTCTATATAATTGCCTCTTACAAACGTATATAAATATTACCTTTAAAAATGCACTTAATGGAGAAGTCAGCTGATATTTTTATCCAGTTATAAATGAAAGTTGATTTTATGTAGAAAATTAATATGAAACAAACCAGTTAATGACAGTTAGTATGGATGTATATGTATTACTGCCTAGAAAGAAGAGTTTAGATAGAAAAGAAGTTAACAACATTACCAGTCTTTCATAGTGTCCATACTTTTTGCTTGGGTTTGTTTTTTTTTTTCATCTAATTTAGGTTGTAAATGTCTTGGGTAGTATATAAATTGCATACTATTTGTGGATCTAACACTTTTTGAAAAACAATAATCTCTTTTAGTACCTCCAGAAAAACCTGAAAATTTGAGTTGCATTGTTAACGAGGGAAAGAGAATGATGTGTCAGTGGGATCCTGGAAGGGAAACACACTTGGAGACAAACTTCACTTTAAAATCTGAATGGTATGTCGTTTTAAATTTGTTTTGTGTTAGATTTATTAAGTTACTCATTTTCCAAGTAATAATATTAAATGCTATTTTAAAACATTTAATTTTTTATTTTGTAACATTTCAAATATATGTAAAAATAGAGGCCAGGTGTGGTTCACACCTGTAATCCCAGCACTTTGGGAGGCTGAGGCAGGTGGATCACTTGAGGCCAGGAGTTCGAATCCAGCCTGGCCAACAGGATGAAGCCCCATCTCTACCAAAAATACAAAAATTTGCTGGGCGTGATGGCAGGCACCTGTAATCCCAGGTACTCCGAGGTTGAGGCAGGAGACTCGCTCGAATCCAGAAGACAAAGGTTGCAGTGAGCCGAGATTGCACCACTGTGCTCCAACCTGGGCAATAGAGTGAGACTCCATCTCAAAAAATTAAATTAAATATAAAAGTAGAAATAATCATATAATAAATACCCATACATACCCATCACTTAGCTTCAACACTGGTCAGCTGGTGACCAGTCCTATTTCAAAGATACTCTTGCCCATATTATCTTGAAGAGAAAATCTCAGACATCATATCATTTCATCTAAATATTTCAATACATATCTCTAAAAGATAAGGACATTTTTAAAAAAGCATAACAACATACCATTATTACACTCAGATATAAAATACATCATTTTCTGTTAGTGTTAGTTTCCCCCATTGTCTCATAAATACGTGTAGATGTATAATTTTTTTTTTTACATTTGTTTGAATCAAGATTAGAATAAGCTCCATACTTCGTGAATTTATATCTTGTCCCTCAAACTATACATTTTGCTTCTTCTTTTTCCTTGTAATTCAGTTGTTAAAACTTTTTCCTTACAATTCATTGTTTTACATATTCCCTTTTTTTTTGGAGAGTCTTGCTTTGTCGCCAAGGCTGGAGTGCAGTTGTGCAATCTCGGCTCACTGCAACCTCCACCTCCTGGGTTCAAGCGATTCTTCTGTCTCAGCCTCCTGAGTAGCTGGGATTACAGGTGCGCACCACCATGCTCAGCTAATTTTTTTTGGTATTTTATAGTAGAGATGGCAGGTCTCACCATGATGATCAGGCTGGTCTCACTACTGACCTTGTGATCTACCTGCCTTGGCCTCCCAAAGTGCTGGGAATACAGGTGTGAACCACCATGCCCCGCCCCCTTTTCTTTTTATTTCCAAAAAATTGCTGTTAGACCTACAGATTTCATCAGATTTGGGTTTGATTTCTTTTTCCCCCAAAAATTTCGTAGGAGTGATGGATACTTCTATCAGGAACATCCAGATAATGTTTCACTGTTTTTCTTTTTTGTGAAATGAAGATTGAGCAGTGGTTTCAGGTGTTGTCAGCCTTATTCCTTTATTTATTAAGTTTCCCATTTTATTTTCAGACACAAAAGTTGAAAGAATTTTGCAGTGAACACTCTTACATATCCATCACCTAGATTCTACAATTAACATTTTACTATATTTTCTTTATTATCTATTTATGCATCCTTCTTTCTATCTATTCATCTCTTTTTTATGCATTTCATAGTGAGTTGCAGTCATTAATATGCTTCACCCTTAATCACTTTACATGAACTAGATTTCAGTATTTTGTTTTTAGGTAAAATTTGCATATAGCAAAAACACAGATCTTAGTGTATCATTTCACTGAGTTTTGACAAGTACACACACCTGTGTAGCTCAAATCAGTATCAAGACATAGAACATTACAACCAGAAAGTTCCCTCCTGCTCCTTCCCAGTCAGTCCCCGGCTACTGCCCCACCATGAGCAACAACCTGATTTTCTTCACCATAGATTATTTTTCCTATTATAGAAGGTCATATAAATGAGATTATATAAAGATAGTCTTTTTTTTTTGTTCTGAGTATGGGTCCTCCCTGAATAGTATATAGTCTTTTGTGAAAAGTTTTTCAACTCAACAGAATGTTTTGGAAATTTAATCATGTTGTTTTCCTACTAGTATTTTCCTTACAGCTTTGAGCAGTCATCAATGATCATAATATAAATTACAAAACGGGTATCCTATGTTTTGTTTGTTTTAGCTGAAATACTTAGAGAAAATCTTGCCTTTATCAATTGTGAGTTACCCTGAAGTACAATTCAGATAAGAGAAACATGATAGGGTTAATATTTTTCCTTAATTATCAGTTTTATAATGAGTTGATTTCCTGGTATTCTCCTAGTTAATGAGGGCTTTTCTTTTCATTATAAATTTATATTTAAACATATTTGATATTTTAACTCATTATAGTGGTTATTATTGATGCTTAAATTGTTCCATCTTTGATCAGTGGCACTTTATTCAGATTGCCTCATTCGTCCTTTTTTTTTAAGAGAAACTGCATTTGTCAGCCTCTTTTTTTTTTTTCTTTTTTAGAGATGGTTTCACCACGTTGGCCAGGCTGGTGAACTCCTGACCTCAGGCGATCCACCCATCTCGGCCTCCCAAAGTGCTGGGATTACAGGCATGAGCCACTGTTCCCGGCCTTCTTTTTTTTTTTTTTGAAACAGAGTTTCACTTTTTGCCCAGGCTGGAGTGAAGTGGCATGATCTCAGCTCACTGCCACCTCTGCCTCCCGAGTTCAAGTGATTCTTCTGCCTCCGCCTCCTGAGTAGTTGGGATTATAGGTGCCCACCACCATGCACAGCTAATCTTTGTATTTTTAGTAGAGATGGGGTTTCACCATGTTGGCCATGCTGGTCTTGAACTCCTGACCTCAGGTGATCCACCTGCCTCCCAAAATACTGGGATTACAGGCGTGAGACACCACGCCCAGCTCATTCATCGCCTTGACACAACTTCTTTAGCCCTTGGTAGCTCTCTGTTATAATGTGTTTTTACAGGCTCATCTTACGTATTTCTTCACCCAGACTTGGAATCAACCATTTCCCAAAACTCTCTGGTTTCATTTAGTGGGAAACAATATTTAGAGACTACAGTCTGGGTGGAATTTATCACTACTGGGTTGTCATAGTTTTTAGGTTTTTTCAGTCAAAAGAGCTAGGATGTTTTGTGGTTTGAGATATAATCTTTTAAAAAGATTCAAATTCATACTGATATTTTCAGTTTAAAATTAAGACTGTAGATTTTTACATAATTACATTCACCTAACATCTACATCTCCTTTCTTATGAACTGGAAAAACCTAGTTCACAACAACGCCAACATAATTATTCATTTGCTTTATCCTGTGGTAAATACAATAGCTGCAGAATAATAACACCAGTATTAGCACCAACAAAATGATTACTAAAAATGATTTTTTTTTTTTTGAGACAGAGTCTTGCTCTATTGCCAGGCACTAGGCTGGAGTACAGTGGCGTGATCTTGGCTCACTGCGACCTCCACCTCCTGGGTTCAAGCAATTCTCCTGCCTCATCCTCCTGAGTAGCTGGGACTACAGGCTTGCACCACCATGCCCAGCTAATTTTTGCATATTTTAGTAGAGACAGGTTTCACCATGTTGGCGAGGATGGTCTTGATCTCTTGACCTCGTGATTTGCCCGCCTCGGCCTCCCAAAGTGCTGGGGTTACAAGCGTGAGCCACCTTGCCCAGCCATGATTTTAAGATTGTTTTTCTCTATGAAGGATGTGTGGTCATCAAATTACTATTTTTTTTAAGGCCGAGCTAGAGTATGGAATATTACTATGTTTTAATGTTACTTGAAATAGTTCCTTTCTGTGTGGTTATACCACATACTCAGTACACAAGTTTATGTGTTTCATTTCGCTTTTGATTTTTAGGAATTTTTCTTAATAATTATATAAAATAATCCCAAAAGTCAAATCTATTAATAGTATTAAGGCATATTCAGTGAAGTCTATTTTCCTGAATCCTCTGCCTTATATTTCCTTCTTCCCCTTAGAGGCCGTTCGTGTTTTGGTTCGATTTGGGGTTTGGTTTATCCTTCTATTTTTAAAAATAGTGTTATATATACATATTTTTAATTGAGACATAATTTATATAAATATAAATAAATATAGTAATATTGTTTGAACCTTTCCATGGTGTTAGAAATCAGATAGTGGTTGTTTAAGTTTGACTAGAAAGAGGAATTTTAGCCCTAAGACTAAAGGCTAAGGGGTGATAGAAATTCTTATCCTTAACCTCCTCTCATCTTCTAGCATACTGTGCTTAGAGAAAGCATATTGTGCTTAAAGAAATTTCTGGTACACTAAGGGTTCTGTTTTAGGAAAAAGAAAAGACAGCACTGGGATCACAAGGAAATAGATAATTTTTGGAGAGGAGTCAGTGGGCATGGAGCACAAAATTTTAAAGCACAATATTTTTAGACTACAAATTTGAAAATAATTTATGTCTTTAGATCAAAGTCAATTTTAAAGAAAGGTTAATTTTTAAGAAATTTTGTTAGTGATCAACAATTTATTGCAAAATTTGTTACAACAGTCTAGATCTTATCAAATTCTTTGCAAGTAATTTTTTTCACTATTTTTTTCAGTTGTGTTTTTAATGAATGATTCTTCAATTTTTTGTATTTAGGGCAACACACAAGTTTCCTGATTGCATAGCAAAACGTGACAACCCTACCTCATGCACTGTTGATTATTCTACTGTGTATTTTGTCAACATTGAAGTCTGGGTAGAAGCAGAGAATGCGCTTGGGAATGTTACATCGGATCATATCAATTTTGATCCTGTATATAAAGGTAGTTATAAACCTGAATTTGAGAGTTTATTTGACTCTATAGTAGTTTATAAATTAAAGCAGTTTTTAGATTTTAATTAATGTAGAAACAAGCATTTATTTATCTTAGTGATTTTTATGAAGTCATTTTATCAATAATATCAAATGGAATTTGGAAAAAGAAAAATATCCATAATCCAACCACAACAGCTGTTTTCACTTTGAATGTTATCTTCTGGTATTTGTCCAGTTCTCAAACATCTTAGACCATTGTGATTACAATATGTATATTCCATTTTTATTCTCATTTCAAAAAATTTGATATTATAAAGTTTGTCTTTTGATATATGAACCTGAAGAGATTGACAAACATAGTAAACTGACAAGGAAAACTAAAGGTTCTTTAGAAATCTTTTTATTTCCATTATGAGATATATAGCATAGCATAATTTTCAGAGAAATTAGTTCATTTGGTAAGGATAAATGAATATTGTAAAATAAAGGAAAATATAAAGAGTATATTTGAGTTTGTATATGAAATTGTAAAACATAATAAGCCTTACGATTTATTTTATTTTTCAGTGAAGCCCAATCCACCACATAATTTATCAGTGATCAATTCAGAGGAACTGTCTAGTATCTTAAAACTGACATGGACCAACCCAGGTATTAAGAGTGTAATAACACTAAAATATAACATTCAATATAGGACCAAAGATGCCTCAACTTGGAGCCAGGTAAATTGAAAGTTACTGTTTATTCAAATAGTTCTTCTTTCAACCTTCTAACCTTAAGAAGTTTCAGTCATTTTCTAAATATCTTAAGTTTCTGGTTAAGTGAAATATTTTGCTTGACACCTCTTCTGGGTCTTTATTTCAAACAAGGGCAATCAGGAAGATAGAAAATACAGCTTTGCTGTATACAGTAGCCTTTACGTACAACATGAAAATGATATAGGTTGATAGGAAATGGCTTTTTTTTTTTTAAGAGACAGGGTAGGGTCTCCCTTTGCTCAGGCTGCTGGCCCACTCCAACTTTGGACTCGAGCTTAAGTGATCTTCCTGCCTTAGTCTCATTACAGGTGTGCACCACCACACCTGGCTGCTATTATTATTATTGTTGTTATTGTTATTTGTGGAGATAGAGTCTCCCATGTTGCCCAAGATGGTCTCAAACTCCTGGCCTTAAGTGATTCTCCTACTTTGGCCTCCCAAAGTGCTGGGATTACAGATGTGAGCTACCACTCCAAACCCAGAAATGGCATTTTTCATGGGGGATACAAAGAATATAGGTAATAAGCAAATTTAGTAGAGGAGCAAAAATAAAGAGATTATAAAGATAAGGTAGCTAGTGTAGGGGTTGGTATGCTGCACTCTGCCAAAATCAGCCTGTGACTTGTTTTTGTAAATAAAGCTTTTTTTGAACACAGCCATACTAATTTCTTTACATATTGTCTCTATTTTTATTCTACATTGGAAGAGTGAGTAATTTCAAAGAGATTATCTGGCCTGCAAGCTTAAAATATTAGTAAATATTTTATCTACCTCTTTATGGAAAGTTTGCCAACCAGTGAGGTAAAGGAAGGGATTAGTAGGGAACTTCTAAGACTGAAAAGGACAGTGTACCCAAAGATGATGCTTGTCAGCCAAAGAAAAAACACTTGAAGCTTTTTAAAAGGCTATCACCATAGCATTCAGCTATGCATACTCTTCTCTGTTTTGATTTCATTTATCACTAACAGTATGTCTTTGCTTTTGCTGCTGTGGTCACAGTGAGCTTGTAAGGGAATTGGGCTCATGACCTTACTACTTCTCTTTTTATACCACTTAAAGTGCTCAGAATACAATCAGAAAAAGCAATAAAACAAAATTGGATTAACGCTTCATGTTGTACAGAGAATGTACATACCTGAAGTTCTTCAGAATGTGATATTAAGTATAGAATCTTAATTCAGTGCTACAAAAAACTGACATTTATTTTGTATCTAATATTAAATTGTCAGAGTAATAGAACATAAACATATTTATCTATGTTTAATCTCTTTTTTTTTTCTGAAAGCCAAGTTTAAAAGCCACAAAAACTCTTGGTTTTCTTGATTGTGCTGGATACCTTCCTTTTGCCCATCCACATCTATTCTTTTCTCTTCCCTACCCTTCTCTTTGTTGTGTCATGCTGACCTGTATGGATTTCATCTGTGGGTTCCCATTCTTTCTAGCTTCCTAGTGACTTTGGTTAATGCTGGGCAGGAGAGAAGACAGAAGAAAAGTGAAATTGGCATGTTGATTTTTCTCTGCTTCCTCCCTGGAACTGGCTTTTTTTGTTGTTGCTTTTCTGAGATGCAGTTTTGCTCTCGTTGCCCAGGCTGGAGTGCAATGGCATGATCTTGGCTCACTGCAACCTCCGCCTCCCCAGTTCAGGCGATTCTTCTGCCTCAGAACCCCGAGTAGCTGGGATTATAGGTACCCACCACCACGCCCAGCTAATGTTTGTATTTTTAGTAAAGATGGGGTTTCACCATTGTCCAGGCTGGTCTTGAACTCTCCTGACCACAGGTGATCCACCCACCTCAGCCTCCCAAAATGCTGGGATTGCAGGTGTTAAGTACCACACCCAGCCAGCTATCTTTCAACTTAAGGCCACTGCCTGTCAAGACAGCCCTCCCTAGCTGACCCTCTTCTTTCAGGTCCTGGTACCTCTCCTCATCCCTTTGGGCCTGGAAGTAGAAACAGCCTCAGAGTATTAACTGCGCTGTCTTAAGGATTTCATATACTCTGCATGTAGTCACTTTATGAAGGCTTCCTTGAATTAATTCTAAGTGGAGTGTGCCATCTGTTTTCTACTGAAATCCTGAGTTATATTAAAAGCCCTGTGGAAGAAATAAAGGGAAAAAAGGAAGGGTAACAGATATTTCCATACTTCTCAAACCTAATAACTTTACTGATTTGGAAAAACTTACATTTATTTCTCTCCTGAGGTTGAGTTTAATGTATCAGTCCCGTATCAATAAAATAGTTTATAGGTTGGGTGCAGTGGCTCACACCAGCACTTTGGGAGGCCAAGGCAGGTAGATTTCTTGAGGTCAGGAGTTTGAGACCAGCATAGCCAACATGGTGAAACCTCGTCTATATTAAAAATACAAAAATGAGCTGGGAGTGTTGGTGGGTGCCTGTGAGTAATCCCAGCTACTCAGGAGGCTGAGGCAGGAGAATTGCTTGAACCCAGGAGGCAGAGGCTGCAGTGCACCTAGATCACATCACTCTACTTCAGCCTGGGCAACAGAGCAAGACTCCACCTCAAAAAAAAATTTCTAAATTTTAACAAAATTTAGAAGACCTTACGATTCAAGGTTTTCTGTTGGTTGATTTCCTTTGTTTCAGATTCCTCCTGAAGATACAGCATCCACCCGATCTTCATTCACTGTCCAGGACCTTAAACCTTTCACAGAATATGTGTTTAGGATTCGCTGTATGAAGGAAGATGGTAAGGGATACTGGAGTGACTGGAGTGAAGAAGCAAGTGGGATCACCTATGAAGATAGTAAGTAAATACATACATGAAGAAGTAAAGCTGTTGGAATTCCAGCTGTGAATTGGTTCTGGTTTTAATAATATAGCCTGATTGCTTCTTATTTTGTGATCATTTTATTCAAACTGCAGTATTTTACATTTTCATTTTTATGGACATTAGGATGTAAAATTTAATATGGATTATTGATAGTATAAGTCTATTTGATACCTAATTAAATTATTATGGATTGGTGTCTTAGATACTATCAGAAAACCGTTGACTTAAGTGTTGATAAGTCTATAGAAGATTTTATTCAAGGTGACTTGTCCAGAGATACTCCTAACTAGAGAATCATATCCTGAATCATTAAAGTCACACTGTCCAGCAAACTATACCTTAGATCCATCCTCACTATCAAAAAAGATATTTGTATTATAGCCTTTATTCATTTTTTTTCTAATAGCACTTGATAAGCCCTTGGGAAGTGATTGACCCTGGAATTTTGGTTGGTTAGTTTTTATTTTCCTTTTTTCTCCTATAGATAATATAATATATGTATATATATATAGAATATAAAAGGTACAAAAAGAGTGTACAGTCTAAAGAAAGATTCTCACTGCAAAGCAGCTGATGTTACTAAGTTCTTGTGTAGCCATCAAGAAATAATCCTGTGGCATAGATTTTTCATTTTGAACACCTTCATATCAGAGATTCACCCCTTAGTTATCAATGACAGTAGCTGTGGCTAAATAATCCCCTACCACCTATATCCCTTTACTTACAGCTCATCTAGTGGTTTAGATGATGTGACTTGAGAATGTCAAAGGCAGAAAAGCAATTTTGCTATTGCTGGCTTGGGAGTCCTCAGCCAGATTCCTTTGTCTTGACCAGGAATTCTTAAACTGAGGTACATGGGGAGGAGTTCATGAAGTACTTTAAAATGTAGGTAAAATATTGTGGTTAGTGCCTGTGTGCATTTTTATGGAACAAGGGTACATAATCTTAGTAAAATCAATGAGTGAGTGAGGTCTCTGGGTCCTCTTTATGTTAGGAAATATTTCCGGCTCATACATTTTTAAAAAATAATTTTATGTTCTTTATTCTGTTTGGGTGCTACATTGTACTCATGTGTATTTATCTGTTTGAACTTCTATACCAGCAGCCTTTTTCCCAGCCAGCCTTCCTGGTCTGCCTGTCCTCTCTTATCTGTTTTGTTGTCTAATTGCCTCTTCATGACATATCAGTATTTAGATTTTTTATTTTTTGAAACAGGATCTCACTCTGTCACCCAGGCTGGAGTGCAGTCGCATGAACACAGCTCACTGCAGCCTCAACCTCCAAGGCTCAAGTGATTTTCCTGCCTCAGCCCCCAACGTAGCTGGGACTACAGGCACACGCCCAGCAAATTTTTGTATTTTTTGTGGAGACAAGGTATTGCCATGTTGCCCAGGCTGGTCTTGAACTACCGAGCTGAAGTGTGATCCACATGCCTCGGCCTCATAAAGTGCTGAGATTGCAAGCATGAGCCACCACACCCAGCCTCACTGCTTAGATTTTATTCAACTCCTTTCTTATTCTACTGATGACCATATCTTGTTATTATATTATAAAAGTTTTGAGAAACCAGTCAATGCCATTCGTTTTTTTAAGATAAACTTTTTCCAATAAAAAGTATCAATAATATCAGTTGATATTACTTATTGCTGAAAGTCCAATTAAAAAATTATACTACACTTAATAGCTGTTATAAAAGTTTGGAAGAATTGATGCCACAGGCATTTTAAAAACCTAATTTAATTACTGATATTTAACAATTTGTGTTTTGGCTGGGTATGGTGGCCAAACTCCAGCTACTTGGGATGCTGAGGTGGGAGGATCACCTGAGCCAAGGAGCCCAGGGTTATAGTGCGCTACAGTCATCCACTGTACTCCAGCCTGTGCAACAGTGAAACACTTGTCTCTGGAAAAAAAAAACAAAACAAAACACTGTTTTATGGAGTGCTTTTTCAAATGGTTAATGATTATCACAACAATACTATGAATTTGTTTTTATTACATCCCATCACTCTCAATCATCCCTACATAAAGTAGTAAACTTATTTTACTACATTTATCTTGTTTTATATTCCTATGAATATTGAATGTGTTTAAATAGATTTTCCAGTTTGATTTTCAGCAATAAGTAGTATCAATAGAATAAGAGAGGAGCCAAATAAAACCTAAGCAGTGATGTGTTGATCATGAAGAGGCAATTACAGATGACAAAACAGAAGTGAGGACAGGCAGACCAGGAAGTCTGGGAAAAGGCTGCTGGTGCAGGAGATTCAAGTAGATAAATACGCAAGAATACAGTGCAGCACGCACACCGAATAAAGAACATGAAGTTACAAGAAAGAGTGATGCCTCTCTAGATGTTGCCCAGGATACATTTGTACCTTTACAATTTTGAGGTTAGAAAAGAATTCCATTATAATTGGAATTCCATCACTGTGACAAAAGGAAGAGCCAGGTGTATCATGCTGGGATGGGAAAATGCTGGTATAAAGAGGTAGAGACACCATGCAATTGGAGGGCAAGAATAGCAAGAACAAAGTAAAAGAGTAATTTGCAGAATGTTATTTTACTGTTAAAAACTTTTTATTTTAAGAAGTTTTTCTTTTCTTTAGGACCATCTAAAGCACCAAGTTTCTGGTATAAAATAGATCCATCCCATACTCATGGCTATAGAACTGTACAACTCTTGTGGAAGGTAAAAATCACATTTACAGTCTTTTATTTCTTATAAATACATTTTTTTGTTTTTGAGACAGAGTCTCGCTGTGTCACCAGGCTGGAGTGGAGTGGTGCAATCTCAGCTCACTGCAACCTCCGCCTCCTGGGTTCAAGCGATTCTTCTGTATTAGCCTCCTGAGTAGCTGGTACTACACATGCATGCCACCATGCCCAGCTAATTTTTGTACCTTTAGTAGAGATAGTGTTTCACCATTTTAGCCAGAATGGTCTTGATATCTTGACCTTGTGATCCACCTGCCTTGTCCTCCCAAAGTGCTGGGATTACAGCTAACCATTTTGGATGGTATTATGAGTGGAAGTTTTTTAAACAGATAAGTTTTTATTCCTCTTAATAGCAAAGCATTTGATTACTGTTTTTAATAAAAAAGTTAAAAAGTTCAAGCTTTGTATGTATTAATATATAGAAGTCAAGTTCATAAACTATAAATAATACCTCATAGGTATTTAAGTACAGTTCTGTGAAAGTGTAAGTTCTATAAGAAGAGGAATGTTGTTTTGTAATTTGGAATTTTCCAGAGTACCTCAGAAAATAATAAAAGTTCACAATAATCAAAATGTATGCTGATAAGTGCATGAGTAGATCATACTAAAAAAGAAGGTAGAAGGCCGGGCGCAGTGGCTAAAGCCTATAATCCCAGCACTTTGGGAGGCCGAGGCGGGTGGATCACGAGGTCAAGAGATCGAGACCATCCTGGTCAACATGGTGAAACCCCGTCTCTACTAAAAATACAAAAAAAATTAGCTGGGCGTGGTGGTGCGCGCCTGTAATTCCAGCTACTTGGGAGGCTGAGGCAGGAGAATTGCCTGAACCCAGGAGGCGGAGGTAGCGATGAGCCGAGATTGCACCATTGCACTCCAGCCTGGGTAGCGAGAGCGAAACTCCGTCTCAAAAAAAAAAAGGTAGAAAGAAAAATACTCAAGCATAAATTCAATAATTTAGGCCTACATAGCCACAATGCAGAATTGCATACAGAACCAAAAGCTATCAGAATGATGCTACTTACCCTCTTTTAGTCAAGGTCATGCTTTTGCTCTTCATTTAGTATGTAGTAGTTTTATTTTAGAACCAAATTTAAAGTGAGATTATGAGTCCTTTACAGACATAATGGCATGATTTGTGAATATGAGGAAAAAACTGATTAACTTATATTTAAGATTTATGAAACTATTTTTAAAAGTAAACTATTTTATTACAGACATTGCCTCCTTTTGAAGCCAATGGAAAAATCTTGGATTATGAAGTGACTCTCACAAGATGGAAATCACGTTTACAAGATTACATAGTTAATGACACAAAGCTGACAGTAAATCTTACAAATGATCGCTATGTAGCAACCCTAACAGCAAGAAATCTTGTTGGCAAATCAGATGCAGCTGTTTTAACTATTCCTGCCTGTGACTTTCAAGGTTTGTGTCTGTGAGATGGAGACTGACTCTTGGATGGAAAAAAGGTGGTTAGGGATGGACAGGGCTCCCATAAAAAACACAAGTCATCTAAGACTATCTCCTCAGTATCAGGGATAATCACATTTTTATTTTTAAATTGTTTTAATTTTATAAATAATGATTCTTTTTCTGTTTTTTTAGAGACTGGGTTTCGCTAGATTGCTCAGGCTGGTCCGGAACTCCTGAGCTCACGCGATCGCTCCCTGACCTCCCAAAGTGCTGGGATTATAGGCATAAGCCACTGAACATAGCCAGTGACATATTTTTAGGAATCAATCAATAGACAAATTTCTTCAGGATACAAGAAACATTTCTATCACGACATGCTCACTTAAACTTTGCAGTAAGCTACTTAATTTATTTAAATATATTCTGATTACTTATCTGGTGTTTAAAATATTATTTCAAGTCTTTGGGAACCTCATATACACTACTGAAATATGTTTATCTGTAGCTTTATTTGTACTTTTCAAAGAGAAAAATTGTAATTACAAACATAAAATTCCAAACATTTGAAGAATTTAGGGAAAGCAATTTTTTTTTTTTGAGACAGAGTGCCACGCTGTTGCCTAGGCTGGAGTGCAGTGGCATGATCTCAGCTCACTGCCGCCTCTGCCTCCTGGCTTCCAGCGATTCTTGTGCCTCAGCCTCCCAAGTAGCTGGAATTACAGGCATGCACCATAACACCCACCTAATTTTGCATTTTTAGTAGAGATGGGGTTTCATCATGTTGGCCAGGCTGATTTCAAACCCCTGACCTCAAGTGATCCGTCCACCTCAGCCTCCCAAAATGCTGGGATTACAGGCAGGAGCCACCACACCTGTCGGGGAAAGCAACATTTACATTTAAAAATTAATTGACTACTTTACCTGTAAGTTACAATAAAGTGCTTTTATGCAAGGAAATATATGCTACAAAAATTGATAAATCACATTTTAAAAATGACTATAAAATACAGAAATTTCAAATTTGTATTTATTATGTCAACTTTCAAACTTTGTTTTAAAGCTACTCGCCCTGTAATGGATCTTAAAGCATTCCCCAAAGATAACATGCTTTGGGTAGAATGGACTACTCCAAGGGAATCTGTAAAGAAATATGTACTTGAGTGGTGTGTGTTATCAGATAAATCACCCTGTATCACAGACTGGCAACAAGAAGATGGCACCGTGCATCGCACCTATTTAAGAGGTATACCTGGCTAGAAACATTTAAGTTGATATCCTTTTTCTAACTCTTTAGGCAGCTTTTTCTTTTGCTTATAGGTGTTGTGGTCTGTTGAAAAGACTTCCAATTTATCATAGCCCCACTAGTTATTAAATGTGTGACTTTCAGCAATTCATACTTAACCTCTCTGAATTACAGAGTCTCTTTATGAACAGACTGGGGTTAGTACTGTCTTCTGTTTGTACCCCAGTACAGTTTTATCATCAAGGGAAAACTCTTAAAACTATAGAGTATAGGGAAATACAAGAGTCGACCGTTTGCTGCAGATTAGTTGTATGTTCTCTGTACCTAACACCCTTATCTTTCAGATGAGAAAATGGTTCCTAGAGCATCTGGATGACTTGTTGAATGTCTTAGAGCCGTCAGACAGAGGAAGCAGAACTAGAACTCAGATTTCCTTATGTCTTTCAATTGGAAGTACTAATGAAGGACAGAAGTAATGAATCATAGTACTCCAGTCTGTGTGTTACAGTGCTGCTTAAATGCTTTTAAAGTGATATAACAACTTTAAAGAGAAAACAAACTCAATTTATGTTCTTTTGTTGATAAAGAAGGATAATTAATAATTAGAATTCAGCTGTGAATAATATAGTTAATTAGAGAAAAGCCGTAAGCAGAGAGATTCCTGCCATAAAGTTTTTGAGCTTTAATTGTAACACAAGCTGTTTGGACTTCATTAACCTATTATTATTAGTGTACAGTTTTAATGAGCTTGGTTGTCTGGTTTATTGACGATAGCAAATTAAAACATTTGGAGCTTAGGGAAGAAACAGGCTGGAAATAACCATAGAAACTTAAAAAATAAATAGATACAGGGTCTCAGTCCATTGCCCAAGCTAGAGTATGGTGGCATGATCATGGCTCACTGCAGCCTTCAACTCCCAGGCTGAAGTGATCGTCTGCCTCATCCTCTGGAGTATCTGGGACTACAGGCACATGCTGCGACACTCAGTATTGCGGAGGCTAGTCTCCAACACCTGGCCTCAAGCAATCCTCTCACTTCAACCTCCCAAAGTGCTGGTATGACAGGCATGAGCCACTGCTCAGAGCCAATAGAAACTTTTTTAAAAAGTGGCTGGGCACGGTGGCTCACACCTGTAATCTCAGCACTTTGGGAGGCTGAGGTGGGTGGATCACCTGAAGTCAGGAGTTTGAGACCAACCTGACCAACATGGAGAAACTCCATCTCTACTAAAAATACAAAATTAGCTGGGCATGGTGGTGCATGCCTATAATCCCAGCTACTTGGGAGGCTGAGGCAGGAGAATTGCTTGAACCCAGGAGGCAGAGGTTGCAGTGAGCCAAGATAGCGCCATTGTACTCCAGCCTGGGCAATAAGAGTGAAACTCCATCTCAAAAAAAAAAAAAAAAAAAAAGCTAGCATAAGTTGTGAAGACATTAAGGTTGGGGTAGGTAGTCCTATATAGCTCAGTAACCCTGAAAGCATCACTGTTAGAATAGAATATAAAACCTGTTCACTTCTTGGTAATATAGAATCATCAAAAGATAAAATCACTTTGTTTAAGAAGGTAAAGGAACGTGTAATTTCATGAGTAATAGTTAAGGAATGTACATTCTTGTTGAAGGTAAATTTCAATAAAACATTTTCTGAGATATACAGATAATATACTGTACAAAAAAGGAATTTAACTGTGCATGTGCAAAAAGATAAAGGAAGTTTGTTTTTGTTTTTGTTAAGTGATCCACCCACCTCAGCCTCCCAAAGTGCTGGGATTATAGATAGGAGCCACAGCCCCGGACAAAGAAGTTTTTCAGATACCTTTTTTCCAACTCACCCAACAAACTAGGGCCATTAGTGCTTTCCCCTAGGTCTTACTGGTTTATTCATCTTGCTCCTTAGGCGGTTCTCTCTTTAGGTAAGACATACAAGGGCCTGGCGCAGTGTTTCATGCCAGTAATCCCAGCACTCTGGGAGGCCAAGGCGGGCAGATCACAAGGTCAGGAGTTCAAGACCAGCCTGGCCAAAATGGTGAAACCCCATCTCTACTAAAAATACAAAAATTAGCTGGGCGTGATGGTGAGTGCCTGTAATCTCAGCTACTCAGGAGGCTGAGGCAGGAGAATCACTTGAACCTGGGAGGCAGAGGTTGCAGTGAGCCGAGATTGTGCCATTGCACTCCAGCCTAGGCAAAGTGCGAGACTACATCTCAAGAAAAAAAAAAAAAGACATACAAAAATAGTCAGACTCTAAGACTGAGAGTAATTTGAGATCATTGTTTTATAAATTCTAAATGTAAATACCATCATTATTCTTAACAATATAATTTTTATTCACTGCATTGGCAATACTTTTACAGACAGTTGTATCCAGTTAAACTTGAATCCAGTACACAAAAGGCAATGCTTACTTAGAAACTGCAGGGGTTTTTTTTTTTTTGAGATGGAGTTTCACTCTTGTTACCCAGGCTGGAGTGTAGTGACGGAATCTCGGCTCACTGCAACCTCTGCCTCCTGGGTTCAAGCAATTCTCCTTCTCAGCCTCCTGAGTAGCTGGTGCTACAGGTGTGCACCACCATGCCCAGCTAATTTTTGTATTTTTAGTAGAGACGTGGTTTCACCATGTTGACCGGGATGGTCTTGATCTTTTGACCTCGTGATCCACCGGCCTCGGCCTCCTAAAGTGCTGGTATATAGGCATGAGCCACTGTACCTGGCTGAAAACTGCAGTTTTAAAAGAAAATTAAGTGGTCATGAAATTATAATGTAAAAATAAATAATGGTATTAACTTTTTCTTTATAGAAAAACATGCTTAATCTGGTATTTTGTTTTAGGGAACTTAGCAGAGAGCAAATGCTATTTGATAACAGTTACTCCAGTATATGCTGATGGACCAGGAAGTCCTGAATCCATAAAGGCATACCTTAAACAAGCCCGTAAGTCCAAGCTCACTTTCTTTGGAAAAAAAAAAGTTTAGGGGTTTTTATTAACAAAAACATTTAATCACTTTTAAATAAGGATATATCTCATGTTCAAATAATTTTATGATAAGGAAATTTTACTAAATTCCAAATGATTTTCAGTTAGCAAATGTGTTTATTCTCTTACAGCACCTTCCAAAGGACCTACTGTTCGGACAAAAAAAGTAGGGAAAAATGAAGCGGTTTTAGAGTGGGACCAACTTCCTGTTGATGTTCAGAATGGATTTATCAGAAATTACACTATATTTTATAGAACCATCATTGGAAATGAAACCGGTAATAAAACTATATTAGTTATTTAGAGCAGACATTTTTTCCTTAAGCTTTTAGGTGCTAATTTAAGTCTATTTTTGTTACGTTATACATCTTATATTGGTCTCAGGAGACACCTGAGAATGTGCCTTATGGTTGCTTTCATGGGTGTATTAAAAAACTACTGTGTTGTGCTTTAGAGCATAAAATTGTGTCAGAACATTAAAAAAGTTGTTTTCTGACAAAAATACTTTGCTTTGTTAATACTTTCACTTGCCAAATATAGGCCAGATAAGTAAAAGCATTGAGTAGTTGAATGAAGCACAGTTCTTTATTTCTTCCAGCTGTGAATGTGGATTCTTCCCACACAGAATATACATTGTCCTCTTTGACTAGTGACACATTGTACATGGTTCGAATGGCAGCATACACAGATGAAGGTGGGAAGGATGGTCCAGAATTCACTTTTACTACACCAAAGTTTGGTAAGAAATAAAGAAGTTTTTTTTTTTCTCTTTCAAACTTACATTAGAAATGAACTTGATTTATGTGCTAAAATTGTGCTAAAAAGTATGTCTTTGGATTCATAATGATTTTCATATTTTCTGGCTTTGGTTGTTTTTTTAAACTATAGAAAGTTTAGATGAAATACTAACTAGAATAACCAGCTTAGAGAAGAACATAAAAGACTTGATGGAGCTGAAAAACACAGCACAAGAACTTCACGAAGCATACACAAGTTTCAATAGCCGAATCAATCAAGCAGAAGAAAGGATATCAGAGATTGAAGATCAACTCAATGAAATAAAACGTGAAGTCAAGATTAGAGAAAAAAGAGTGAAAAGAAATGAACAAAGCCTTCAAGAAACATGGGATTATGTGAAAAGACCAAATCTACGTTTGATCGGTATACCCGAATGTGATGGGGAGAATGAAACCAAGCTGGAAAACACTCTTCAGGATATTATCCAAGAGAACTTTCCCATCCTAGCAAGTTATGCCAACATTCAGATTCAGGAAATACAGAGAATGCCACGGAGATATTCCTCAAGAAGAACAACCCCAAGGCACATAATTGTTAGATTCGTCAGGGTTGAAATGAAGGAAAAAATACTAAGGGCAGCCAGAGAGAAAGGTCGGGTTACCCACAAAGGGAAGCCCATCAGACTCACAGCGGATCTCTCGGCAGAAACCCTATAAGCCAGAAGAGAGTGGAGGCCAATATTCAACATCCTTAAAGAAAAGAATTTTCAACCCAGAATTTCATATCCAGGCAAACTAAGCTTCATAAGTGAAGGAGAAATAAAATCCTTTATGGACAAGCAGTTGCTGAGAGATTGCATTACCACTAGGCCTGCCTTACTCTAGAGCTCCTGAAGGAAGCACTAAACATGGAAAGGAACAACCACGACCAGCCACTGCAAAAACATACCAAATTGTAAAGACCATAGAGACAATGAAGAAACTGTATCAACTAACAGACAAAACAACCTGCTAACATCAAAATGGCAGGATCAAATTCATATGTAACAATATTAACCTAAATGTAAATGGACTTAATGCCCCAAACCGAAGACACGGACTGGCAAAGTGGATAGAGGCAAGACCCATCAGAGTGCTGTATTCAGGAGACCCATCTCATGTGCAAAGATACACATAGGCTCAAAATAAAGGGATGGAGGAAGATTTACCAAGCAAATGTAGGCCAAAAAAAAAAAAAAAGCAGGGGTTGCAATCCTAGTCTCTGATAAAACAGACTTTAACCAACAAAGATCAAAAGAGATAAGGGCATTACATAATGGTAAAGTGATCAATGCAACAAGAAGAGCTAACTATCCTAAATATATATGTACCCGATACAGGAACACCCAGATACATAAAGCAAGTTCTTAATGACCTACAAAGAGACTTAGACTCCAACACAATAATAGTGGGCGACTTAAATACTCCATTGTCAATATTAGATCAGTTAGACAGAAAAATTAACAAAGATATCCAGAACTTGAACTCAGATCTGGACCAAGCAGACCTAATAGACATCTACAGAACTCTCCACCCCAAATCCACAGAATATACATTCTTCCCCAGCACATTGTACTTACTGTAAAATTGACCACATAATTGAAAGTAAATCACTCCTCAGCAAATGCAAAAGAAGGGATATCAAAGAGCCTCTTAGAGCACAGTTCAATCAAATTAGAACTCAGGATTAAAAAACTCGCTCAAAACTGCACAACTACGTGGAAACTGAACAACCTGCTCCTGAATGACTATTGGATAAAATAATGAAATGAAGGCAGAAATAAAGATGTTCTTTGAAACCAATGAGAACGAAGACACCACATACCAGAATCTCTGGGACACATTTAAAGCAGTGTCTAGAGGGAAATTTATAGCACTGACTGCCCACATGAGAAGCAAGGAAAGATCTAAAATCGACACCCTAATGTCACAATTAAAAGAACTAGAGAACCAAGATCAAACAAATTCAAAAGCTAGTAGAAGACAAGAAATAACTAAGATCAGAGCAGAACTGAAGGAGATAGAGACACAAACCCTTCAAGAAAATCAATAAATGCAGGAGCTGGTTTTTTGAAAAGATAACAAAATAGACCGCTAGCCAGACTAATGAAAAGAGAGAAGAATTGAATAGATGCAGTTAAAAATGACAAAGGGGATATCATTGATTCCAAAGGAATACAAACTACCATCAGAGACTACTATAGACACCTCTATGCACATAAACCAGTAAATTTAGAAGAAATGGATAAATTCCTGGACACTTAAACCCTCCCAAGGCTAAACCAGGAAGAAGTTGAATCCCTGAATAGACCAATAACAAGGCCTGAAGTTGAGGCAGCAATAGCCTACCAACCAAAGTAAGTCCAGGACCAGATGGGTTCACAGCCGAATTCTACTGGAGGGAAAAAGAGGAGCTAGTACCATTCCTTCTGAAACTATTCCAAAAAATGCAAAAAGAGGGAATCCTCCCTAACTCCTTTTTTGAGACCAACATCATCCTGATGCCAGAACCTGGCAGACAACTAAAAAAGAAAATTTCAGGCCAATGTCCATGATGAACATTGCTGCGAAAATCTTCAATAAAATACTGGCAAACCCAAACCAAAGCACATCAAAATGCTTATTCGTCACAATCAAGTTGGCTTCATCCCTGGGATGCAAGGCTGGTTTAACATATGCAAATCTATAAATGTAATTTATCACATAAACAGAACCAAAGACAAAAACTACACAATTTATCTCAATAGATGCAGAGAAGGCCTTCAACAAAATTCAACAGCCCTTTATGCTGAAAACTGTCAATAAACTAGCTATCAATGGAATGTATCTCAAAATAATAAAAGCTATTTATGACAAACCCATAGACAGTATCATATTGAATGGGCAAAAACTGGAAAAGCATTCCCTTTTAAAACTGGCACAAGACAAGGGTGCCCTCTCTCACCACTCCTATTCATAGTATTGAAAGTTCTAGCCAGAGCAATCAGGCAAGAAAAAGAAATAAGATACTCTGTCAAATTGTCTCTATCTGCAAATGACATGATTGTACATTTAAAAGACCCCATTGTCTCAGCCTAAAATCTCCTTAAGCTGATAAGCAGCTTCAGCAAGGTCTCAGGATACAAAATCAGTGTGCAAAAGTCACAGGTATTCCTATACACCAAAAACAAGAGTGCTAAATCATGAGCAAACTCCTATTCACAATTGCTATGAAGAGAATAAAATACCTAGGAACACAACTAACAAGGGATGTGAAGGACTTCTTCAAGGAGAACTATAAACCACTGCTCAGGGAAATAAGAGAGGACACAAACAGATGGAAAAACAGTCCATGCTCATGGTTAGGAAGAATTAGTATCATGAAAATGGCCATACTGCCCAAAGTAATTTACAGATTCAATGCTATCCACATCATTGAATCTGTAAATGCTAATCCATTGACCTTCTTCATAGAACTGAAAAAAAAAAAAAAAACCACTTTAAACTTCATATGGAACCAAAAAAGAGCCCGCCTAGCCAAGATAACCCTAAGCAAAAAGAACAAAGCTGGAGGCATCATGCTACCTGACTTTATACTATAAGGCTACAGTAATCAAAACAGCATGGTAGTGGTACCAAAACAGAGATATAGACCAATGGAACAGAACAGAGGCCTTGGAAGTATTGCCACACATACCTACAACCATCTGATCTTTGACAAACCTGACAAAAACAAGCAATGGGGAAAGTGTTGGGAAAACTGGCTAACCATGTGCAGGAAGCTGAAATTGGACCACTTCCTTACACTTTATACAAAAATTAACTCCAGATGGTTTAAAGATTTAAACATAAGACCTAACACTATAAAAACCCTAGAAGAAAACATAGGCAATACCATTTAGGACATAGGCATAGGCAAGGGCTCGATGACTAAAACAACAAAAGCCAAAATAGATAAATGGGATCTAATTAAACGTAAGAGCTTCTGCACTGCAAAAGAAATAATCATTAGAGGAAATTGGCAACCAACAAAATGGGAAAAAAATGTTGTAAGCTACCCACCTGACAAAGGGCTAATATTCAGAATCTACAAAACTAAAACAAATCTACAAGAAAACAACCCCATCAAAAAAATTTTTTTTGCGAAGGACATGAACAGACACTTTTTAAATGAAGACATTTATGTGGCCAACAAACAGAAAAAATGCTCATCATCACTGGTCATTAGAGAAATGCAAATCAAAACCACATTGAGATACCATCTCATGCCAGTTAAAATGGTGATCATTAAAAAATCCAGAGACAACATGCTGGCGAGGATGTGGAGAAATAGGAACACTTTTACACTGTTGGTTGGAGTGTAAATTAGTGCAACCATTGTGGAAGAAGTATGGCGATTCCTCAAGGATCTAGAAATAGAAATACCATTTGACCCAGCAATCCCATTACTGGGTATATACTCAAAGGATTATGAATCATTCTATTATAAAGACACATGCACACATATGTTCATTTCGGCACTGTTTACAATAGCAAAGACTTGGAACTAACCCAAATGCCCATCAAGGATAGACTGGATAAAGAAAATATGGCACATAGACACTATGGAATACTATGCAGCCATAAAATAGGATGAGTTTCATGTCCTGTGCAGGAATATGGATGAATCTGGAAACCATCATTCTCAGCATACTGACACAAGAACAGAAAACCAAACACTGCATGTTCTCATAAGTAGGTCTTGAACAATGAGAACACATGGACACAGGGAGGTGAACATCACACATTGGGGTCTCTTGTGGGGGGGGGGGTGGCTAGGGGAGTGATAGCATGGGGTGGGGAAGTTGGGGAGGCATTACATTAGGAGAAATACCTAATGTGGGTTAAGGGGAGGGAGGCAGCAAAGCACCATGGCATGCGTATACCTATGTAACAATTCTGCAAGATCTGCACATATACCTCAGAATTTAAAGTATAATAATAAAGTGGCACATATACACCATGGAATACTATGCAGCCATAAAAAAAGGATGAGTTCATGTCCTTTGCAGGGAGATGGATGAAATTGGAAACCATTTTCAGCAAACACGAACAGAAAAACAAACGCTGCATGTTCCCACTCATAAGTGGGTGTGTAACAGAACACATGGACACAGGGAGGGGAACATCACATACCATGGCCTGTTGTGGGGTGGAGGGGCCAAGGAAGGGATAGCAGGGGGTGGGGGGATTGGAGAGGGATAACATTAGGAGAAATACCTAATGTAGATGACAGGGCATGGATGCAGCAAACCACCATGGCATGTGTATACCTATGTAACAGTCCTGCATGATCTGCACATGTACCCCAGAACTTAAAAAGTGTTAATCCTCACCTTTTTGGTGTTTTATTAACTGCTTCTGACTAAATTCAGCTATACTCAAAATCCCAAGCGAATTTGTATATCTTTCCAAGTGGGTTCATTTTTTTCACTGGTTTTGGGTGTGGTGGTCTCTATCCTCAGATTACTTGAAGGACTAATCCACTTTACAGTCTTCACTTCATACTTCCCACTTAGTCTTTAACATACTGAAATCAGGGTTCCAACCCCACCCCTGCACTGAAACTTCTGTGGTATTACTCAGAAGACCTCTTGGTCATCATATCTACTGCATGCTTTTTAATTTTTATCTTTTTCCTACTTTTTTGTTTTTGGAGGCAGGGTCTTATTCTCTTGCCCAGGCTACAAGTGGAGTTCAGTGGCATGAACATTGCACACTGCAGCCTTGACCTCCTGGGCTCAAGTGATCCTCCTCCCTCCAGTCTCTCAAGTATCTGGGACTAGTGCCAGGACACGCAGCTAATTTTTTTATAGAAATGGCTGGTCTCGAACTCCTAGGCTCAAGTGATCCTTCCGCCTTGGTCTCCCAAAGTGCTGGGATTACAGATGTAAGCCACTGCCTCCAGCCTTTTCTATTTTATTTTTTTTATAATTCAAAGCCACTGCAAATCAATTTTTTATTTATTTTTTTACCTTTTTTTTTTTTGCCTCCGGCCTTTTCTTTTCAGCTTTTGACTCTGTTGGCTTTCCATCTGTCAAACTCCCTCCTCCCTTGGGTTTTCTAACCATACTTTTATTTTTCTACTAGCGCAGTTTCTTCATTCTCTGGTGTTTGCTTGTTCTCCTTTTTTTGCTCTACTTTTAAATGGTTTGTATTCCCCAGAGCTCTGTTCTTGACCCTATTTTCTTACTTGCCTATTAAAACTCTATCCATGGCTTTCGCCATCCTCTTTCCTTCCCAAATATATTTCCCCTCCCTCGTTCTGTTCCACAACCATCCAACTCAGCCAAAGCCAGAAATTTAGATGTGATTATAATAAATGTATTCATGTTTTTCCCCTTATGGAAGCTGAGTATCAAGTCCTATTGATTGTGTCTACTCTTTCATCATCATGTTCTTCAACTGCAAGCTCCTTGTGCTAACTTAACTTCTCAGTGCATTGCCCTCAGTGAGGTATTCACCTTGTTATCTGGCTGTTATCATTCTTTCTTGTTCCCACTGCATTTTGAATCATTGTAGAAAATTACCTTATTTTACCATAATTGTAACCCCCACCCCCAAGTGCCAACCCCTAGTGAATGATAAGTTGTAAGTTCCATGTGCCTTGTTGGTTGCTGAATGAGAAAATGAATGAGTCATAAAAGATCCTGAGCTTTGTTGTTAGGGCCAATAATGAATGTAGTTACTGCGACAAGGTTTGTCCCATGCGGTGGCATGTTAATATATATTTAACATTATTTGAAATAAATATACCATAATCTTGAGAAAAATTAAAAAATAAAGGGCCAGATGTGATGGCCCATGCCCGTAATTCTAGCTCTTTGGGAGGCTGAGGCAGGCGGATCGCGAGCCAGGAGTTCGAGACCACCCTGGTCAACATGGTGAAACCCTATCTCTACTAAAAATACAAAAATTAGCCAGGCACCTAGCTACTCAGGAGGCCAAGGCAGGAGAATTGCTTGAATGTGGGAGATGGAGTTTGCAGTGAGCCGAGATTGTGCCACTGCACTCCAGCCTGGGTGACAGAGCGAGACTCCATCTCAAAATAAACTTTAAAAACGTGTATTTTTTATATTTCTGTGGAGACCGGCTACAGAGCTCTATGTGTATCCATACATGCACACACAAAAACCCATACAAGTTTTTTGATTTTGAGACAGTCTTGCTCTGTCTCCCAGGCTGAAGTGCAGTGGTGCAGTCATAGCTCACTGTAACCTCAAATTCCTGGGCTTGAGTGGTACTGCATCAGGTTCCCAAGTAGCTAGGATTACTGGTAGGCCCACCATGCCCAGCTAGTTTAAAATTTTTTTTTGGTAGATACGGGAATCTCACTATGTTGCCCAGGCTGGTTTTGAACTCCTGGCCTCAGTCCTCCTGCCTTAGCTCCTCAGAGTGCTGGATTACAGGAATGAGCCACCATGCTCAGCCTAAAAAATTTTAAATATAAAAGTGTTATAGAGAATTTAGACTGCACAGTAAAATGTAAGAGGAAGAAAAATGAGTCTTAATCCTTTCCTCAAATATATTTGTGTATATATCCTTTTAGTCTTTTTTCTGTATATCTTTTTTTCAAAAAATTTTATTAGTATTACTTCATAACCTTTTTTTCAGTTCTCTGTAGTCTCATGAGTCCATTATGGCTTCTTGACATGGCATGAGTCTTGCCAACAAGGACCTTATAGCTTTGTTGAAGAAATTTTGCATAAGTAAATCAAAAAAAGAACCAGTGGAGTATGTAGACAGTAAATAGAGGAGGAATTTAAATAGTAGCAGGTACTTTTACCTTCAAAGGAGGTTTTATGGGGATAATACTTGAGCCTTGAGTTAAGATGTGGACAAATAGGAAGAAAGTGGCACCTTAGAGAGCATGAACAAAGGCCCAGGCTTGAAAACATAAAAGTAGCTCTTAGAAAAGTTTCTGCCTAAATTATATTTGACATTTTATATATGTACACACATAAATACATATATATACACACATACATATGATGCTTAGTATTTAAGAATATTTGCCAACTCAGTTTTTTCTCAAGCATTTATCTGAATTCTTGATTTCTGCTGAGTTTCATAGGACAGTAGTTACAAAGGGATGTGTGTGGTGGAAAGATAAAATTGAGTGAGTAGTATATGGCTGCAATATTACTTTCATAACATTTTTCCTGTAAAAGACTAATTAAAATTCAAAATTAACCAGAAACAACCATCAGGAAAGTTTGTTTTAAAAATTATAATATTGGAGATTTTTTAAATCTCCAGTATTATCCCAATTAGTGATTCATTTGATGAACAAGTCCTCTTTTAAATGAGGATTTGTGTGGTATTTAGGAATCTTAGGCTTGGTTACTTTTTAGTTTATTCCTACTTGTGTCGCTCCTTGTGCCCATTGAGCATCTCCTAAATTTCTTAGCCCTGTATCAGATATATCATCTTTTGGGAAAATGGTAAGTAACTCTTTAAAATTCTGAGAGTTGCATTTTGATTTCTTTTAGAAGTTTAAATTTATAATTCAATTATATTTTTATAGCTTTTCCATTTTACCCAGTATTAATTTGTTCTGACATAATTCCTCTGTTATACAGTATCAGAACTCAGAGATAAACTTACTAAGATTCTACTGAATGCAGATCATAAATGTTACAAATGGTTATGTTTGAAAGCTCTAATACCCAATTCACTGATCATTTTTATCCCCCAACCAACATATATCTTATGCTGTGTGCCTAAGACATAAATGGTTGGGATGTGATTTAGCAGGGAGAGAGGAGGGTAAAAAAACATCGTCTGAAAAGACAAAAAAAAAAAAAAAAGGATTGTATTTTAACTTTTCAACAGTAAGTCTGGCTGAGAAATTGTATTAGATCTCCTGAGTGCATGTGTCAACAATTATTTCTTATCACACCTCTTTTTTTTTTTTTTTTAGCTCAAGGAGAAATTGAAGCCATAGTTGTGCCTGTTTGCTTAGCATTCCTATTGACAACTCTTCTGGGAGTGTTGTTCTGCTTTAATAAGCGAGACCTGTAAGTACCTTTATTCATAGTTTTGCATTTCCCTCCAGCTTTATTGAGCTGTAGTTTACATGAAATAAAATTTATCCATTTTAAGTGTACAGTTTGATGAATTTTTGTAATTGCATCCAGATGTATAACTACTGCTACAATCACAATATAGAACATTTTTATCACCCTTGTAAAGCTTCCTTGTTCTCTTTTGTAATCTGTCCTCTCCTCAACTCAACCCCAGGCAGTCATTGGTCTGCTTTTCTGTAACTGTAGTTTTGCCTTTTCTAGATTTTTTTTTTTTTCTTTTTTGAGACAGGGTTTCACTTTTGTTGCCCAGGATGGAGCGCAATGGTGCAATCTCAGCTCACAACCACCTCTGCCTCCCTGGTTCACACTCCTACCTCAGCCTCTAGAGTAGCTGGGATTACAGGCACCTGCCACCACACCCAGCTAATTTTTTGTATTTTTAGTAGAGACACAGGTGTCACCACGTTGGCCAGGCTGGTCTCAAACTCCTGACCTCAGGTGATCCACCCGCATCAGCCTCCCAAAATACTGGGATTACAGGCATGAGCCACTACACCCAGCCAAGAATTTTATATAAATACAATCAAATAGCATGTAGTCTTTTGTGTATGTTTTTCACTTAACATATTTTTGAGATTCATCCATGTTGTTATTGCATTTATTTATTTTTTGGAGATGGATTCTCACTTTGTTCCTCAGGCTGGAGTACAGTGGCATGATCTTGGCTTTCTGCAACCTCCATCTCCTGAGTTCAAATGATTCTCCTGTCTCAGCCTCTTGAGTAGCTGGGACTACAGGTACCTGCTACCACACCTGGCTAATTTTTGTATTTGTATAATAGAGACAGGGTTTTACCATGTTGGCCAGGCTGGTCTCAAACTCCTAACCTCAAGTGTTCTACCTGCCTCGGCCTCCCAAAGTGCTGGGATTACAGGCATGAGTCATGGCACTTGGGCTACTTTTTTCCTTTTTATTGCTGAACAGTCTTCTGTAGTATGGATGTATCAAAACCTCTCTTTTACGGAAGTTTAGGTTATTTCTCATTTTTAGCTATTATGAATAATGTTGCCATGAATATTCACATACAAAACTGTGTGAGCATATTTTTTTTATCTTGAACAAATAACTAGGAGTGAGGGTGCTGGGTTGTATGGTAAGTATATGTTCAACTTTATAAGAAACTGCCGTTGGCTCACGCCTGTAATCCCAGCACTTTGGGAGGCCGGGGCGGGTGGATCACGAGGTCAAGAGATCGAGGCCATCCTGATCAACCTGGTGAAATCCCGTCTCTACTAAAAATACAAAAAGTTAGCTGGGCATGGTGGCGCGTGCCTGTAATCCCAGCTACTCAGGAGGCTGAGGCAGGAGAATTGCCTGAACCCAGGAGGCGGAGGTTGCAGCGAGCCGAGATCGCACCATTGCACTCCAGCCTGGGTAACGAGCGAAACTCCGTCTCAAAAAAAAAAAAAACTGCCAAACTTTTTCAGAGTGGCTACACTGACCATCTTGCATTGCCACCAACAATGTTCTGTTATCATTACCAACACTTAGCACTGTCAGACTTCTTTCATTCTAATGGGTGTGTAGTACTATCTCATTTTAATTGTCATTTCTCTGACAATTAGTAATGGATCTTTTCATGTGTGACTTACATATTGTCTTTTTTGATATGTCTATTGAAATCTTTCACCCGTTTTCAAATTGGGTTATTTTGTTTATAATTGAGCTATAAGAGTGCTTTATATGTTCTGGTTACAACATCGTCAAAAATGTTTTGCAAACTTTTGTCTCAGTCTATGCTTTGCCTTTTTGTCTTAACTGGCTTTAGAAAAGCAGTTTTTTTTTTAAATTTTGATGAAGTTTATCAGTTTTTTTGTGGTTTCCGAGTTTTGTGTCCTGTTTAAGAAGTCTCTACCAAACCCAGTGTGAAGATATTTTCTCATGTTTTCTTCCAGAAGTTCAGTAGTTTCAGCTCTTATATCTATGATCCATTTCAAATTATTTTTGTGCATGGTGTGAGGTCAGGGTCAAGGTTGATTTTGTTCCTACAGATGTCTAATTCCATTGTCATTTATTTTGAAAAGACTGTCTTTCCCTGCATTGAATTGCTTTGGTACTTTTGCCAAAAGCAATTGTCCTTATAACTCTGTTTCCACACTCTCAATTCTTTTTCATCAATGTATATATATCTGTTCTTATGCCAGTACCACACTGTCTTGATTAGTATAGCTGTATAGTAAATTTTGAAAATAGGTAGAATTCTTCCGGTATGTTTAAAAAAAGTTATTTTGGCTAGGTTCTTTGCCTTTTCATATATGTTTTAATTCAGCTTGTCAATTTTTTTTAAATCTATAATTTTAATTGGGATTTTATTGAATCTGTAGGTCATATTTTATTGAATATGTGGGGAGAACTGCAGTCTTAACACTATTGAATCTTTGAATCTGTGAACCTGGTTTATTTATTTATTTGAGTTTTAGTTTACTTTTGCAGTGTTGTATAGTTTTCAGTGGACAGGCCTTGCATAGCTTTTGTTAAATTCATGACAAAAGTTATTTTATACCTTTTATAAATGGAAGGTGTAAAAAATATTTTCTAATTCTTATATAGGAATGCAATAGATTTTTACAAATATATTGATCTTATATATACTAAGACTTTGATAAATTCATTTATTAGTAGCTTTTCTGATTCCTTAGAATTTTCTACATATACAATCATGCTTCTTGCAAGTAATTAAAGTTGGTCTAATCTTTATGCTTTTTTTTTTTTTTTTGGTCTTAATGCACTGGCTAAGACCTCCAGTACAATGTTGACCAGAAGGGATATGGGCATTGCATTGTTCCTAATTTTAGAGGGGAAGATATTTAGTCTTTCACCATCACACGTCATGTTAGCTGTAGGTTGAAGTTTTTGCTTTGTGGGTTTTTTTTTTCCCTTTACTACTATTTCTAGGAGGAAGTTCTTATTTCTGTTTTGCTTTGCTAGCAATTTTTATCATGAATGGATGTCACAATTTGGTCAAATGCTTTTTCTGAATCTACTGAGATGATCACATGGTTTTTCTCCTTCCTTCCATGAGTATAGTGAATTTTATTTTCATATACCATCCTTGCATTCCTTGGATTTTGCTGCATTCAGTTTAATAATGTTTTCATCTGTGTTCATGAGTGATGCTAGTTTGTCTTTGTGTGCAATGACTGACTGGTTTTAAAATCAGGATAATACTGGCCTCATAAAATGAATGGGAACATGTTACCTCCTCTATTTTCTGGAAGAGTTTGTATAGTATAAGTACCGTTTCCTTTTGCCCAGAGTTTTGTGGGAAGGTTTTTAATTAAAAATTCAATTTATTTATAAATATATCACAGCTTTCTTGTTCTTCTATTTTGGTAATTTGTGTCTTTCAAGGAATGCATTCATGGATTTGTCTAGTTTGTCAGCTTTACTGCTTTTTATATTATGTCCAAATGTTATAGATACTTCCTAAGGAGAGTCAGTCTGGTAGGATCTTACTCTTTTACCAGAAGCATCATTCTCAGTGGTCCCTTTTTTAAATTTGATTTTTATATTTGAACTTATTCTCAAGATTACTCATTTTCTGTGCACTTATGAACCTCTAACTTTGAGCTAGGAACTGTACTAACTATGAGGAAAACATACTTCAGTAGGTTTTTGAGTATATGGATATCTTAAATGAATTTTAAATATTGTTAGCCTTTTCTTATTAAAAATAATTTGGTATCAGTGGGAACATTAATTTTTTATCTAGAGTCTTTTAATTGGAATACCACAACATGTGGCCTGGACGAAGATTCTAAGTGGTTTAAATTGCAGAATATTGAGAGGTTTTTAAAAAATTGAACACTGATTATTAAATTTAGCCTTATTATTCATTATGAATGCATTATAATCTGTATGCATTTTCAACAGCATTTTTCTGTTGGTTACAAGAAAAATTTTTGTTTGGGGTAGAGTACGTATTTTTGTTCATTTAGGTAATTAGTTTGGTTGGTAAGAGTCTTTGATGAACATGTTTAGAAGTAGGGGCTATTCATTGTTTATTACATGTGGTTTTACATAGGTCATTTTTCTTTTCTCTTCAGAATTAAAAAACACATCTGGCCTAATGTTCCCGATCCTTCAAAGAGTCATATTGCCCAGTGGTCACCTCACACTCCTCCAAGGGTAAGAGAAAATGCTTTTGAGTTGTTTATAATATACAGACGTGTTAGTATATATATTATCTACAAATGTACCAAAAGATATTCAAGGTGAATCAAAAAGTAAATGAAAATAGTACATAAATGAAAATTTTAATCAAAATATGTACAGCACATTTTAGAGGTTTATCACCATCATAGCATATTTGTTCTAATGTTTCAAATTCTGTTTAGTAAACATTACAGACGTTTAATTGAACTTGCAAACTGTAAACTTAAGGTGCTAAAACTGCTATGTGATGCTATCTCAAAGCAAGCATTTTGGATTGAATATTACAACCAAGTTCAAAAGTCTATCATTTTAACACTGATGAAATGATCTCTGGGAACCTACACTAAACTCTGGATTTTAAATATGCCCCAAAGGGGAAGTTGTTTGTATTTGTTATCCTCCGATAGTCCTTAAAGTTTATATAAACAGATTAAAATGTGTTGTGCATTTTTATATTCCACGAAATCTCCACCCTTCAGGTTTGATTTTCCTTAAGATTTTCTAGTTTTCCGTCCAGTTAATCCTAGGCTGCCTAGCCTAGGCATGAAATTAAATTAAATACTATTTGTATACCATTAGCTTATCAAAATGTAACACCAACAATATTGATTTAGACTACTTAGACTCATTTTACTGCATTTTGGGTGGTTGACATTGACTTAGTGACATAATACAAGTCATTTCTGTACTACTGAAAGTTACTGGGAAGTTTCAGAGATGCATTAGCTCTGTGGCTTTAACAAATATTTGCCATATACATACGAGAGTTTCTAAATAAACATATCCCATAAATAATAAATTTTCTCTCTTTTCTTAGCACAATTTTAATTCAAAAGATCAAATGTATTCAGATGGCAATTTCACTGATGTAAGTGTTGTGGAAATAGAAGCAAATGACAAAAAGCCTTTTCCAGAAGATCTGAAATCACTGGACCTATTCAAAAAGGAAAAAATTAATACTGAAGGACACAGCAGTGGTATTGGGGGGTCTTCATGCATGTCATCTTCTAGGCCAAGCATTTCTAGCAGTGATGAAAATGAGTCTTCACAAAATACTTCGAGCACTGTCCAGTATTCTACTGTGGTACACAGTGGCTACAGACACCAAGTTCCATCAGTCCAAGTATTCTCAAGATCCGAGTCCACCCAGCCCTTGTTAGATTCAGAGGAGCGGCCAGAAGATCTTCAATTAGTAGATCATGTAGATGGTGGTGATGGCATTTTGCCCAGGCAACAGTACTTCAAACAGAACTGCAGTCAGCATGAATCCAGTCCAGATATTTCACATTTTGAAAAAGTTTCATCAGTCAATGAGGAAGATTTTGTTAGACTTAAACAACAGATTTCAGATCATATTTCACAATCCTGTGGATCTGGGCAAATGAAAATGTTTCAGGAAGTTTCTGCAGCAGATGCTTTTGGTCCAGGTACTGAGGGACAAGTAGAAAGATTGGAAACAGTTGGGATGGAGGCTGCTATTGATGAAGGAATGCCTAAAAGTTACTTACCACAGACTGTACGGCAAGGTGGCTACATGCCTCAGTGAAGGACTAGCGGTTCCTGTTACACTTCAGCAGTACCTGTAAGAGTAAAGCTAAAATTATTTTATCTGTGAATTCAGATTTTAAAGTCTTCACTCTGTGAAAATGATCATTTGCCCTTAAGGACAAAAATGAACTGAACTTTTACATGAGCTATTTCTATTCCGGAATATCTGGGATTCTACTTTAAGCACTACATAAACTGACTTTATCCTCAGACTAGCTAAATAATTTTGTGCTGTTTCAGGATGTTTGCACTGAAGAAAAATAGAAAGCTTACCTGAAATTTATGAAGTAAAACTTTTTGTTTTGCTACATAGAAAACAGAAGGTATTTAAATAATAAGCAGGAATATGCTTAGTGAGCACAGCTATACTGATTTTGATTAGAATAGTCATCAAAGTGGCTTAGGGACAGTTAATATAAAAGAGGAGCAAGGTCTAGATCATCTACTTCAGCTAAAGTAACTTAAAAAGAGGTCCATAGGCCAAAACTATATGAGCCCCATTTTCATAATCTGACAAAAAAAAGGGAGTAGCCTCGTGTATATCAGTGGACACAATATTCTGTAGGTCCCTTCTGTTGGTAGTGATGCTGCCAGTTATTACTGGAGAAAAGGAATTCTAGAGCGTTAACTTGGCAGATTACATTTTTTATTCAATAATCAGTAATCTTACTAGTTTTCAAAAATTTGCTTATTATTGACAACTTCTTTGAAGATCCATTTTACAAACTCAACAGAGTGCCATGACAAGAGCTACGGGTCCCCCAAACTATCTCAAGCATTGAAAAAATTGCTATTTTTAAAGGCTAAAATTGTTAATGTTTATATATAACATCATTGACCTTTCTTAAGTCTTCAGAGAATTGGGTACATGAAGTACTTTATTCAGCATATATCTTCAGCTTAAATTGTGTTTTGAGTATTTTTTTAGGCAAAGATTAAAATTTTTTTTAGTAAATGTTTGAAGCAAACTAAGCGGACTTGGGCAATGTTTACCAAAACAAAACAGAACCCCCAAAAATGTACATCTTGATCTTAGCAAATATCCTTATTGTAATACACACTTAATAAAGAGGTGGTATTTTAATATCTGCAGTTCTGAGGTAGGGTGGAACTTAGTTCTACATTGTAATTTAGGCATTTTTTAAACCTTCTTTCTTCAGGGAAGAAGTGGCCCAGGCCTTGAGTTTAGCACTGAAGCCACTAGTGTGCTTACGCTGTCCCCTAATCACCACATGTGACATGAAGGCTGAGGCTAACTATAGGGGCTAAGAAAGTAAGAGGAAATTAACAAGTGTTATTAGTTATTGACTACTGCTATCAAGTAAATTCAGAGGAAACAGGTTTTTCAGCCATATTTAAGTTACAAAAACCAGGCAGGCTTAGAATAGTTTCTAGAGGTTATTGGAGAATAAAAAGCTAAGAAAACTTGGTATACATTTATAATTGAAATATAATTACACTTTTTACTCTCAGAATATTATTCATATTACACTTCCTGTTTATCTTTTATATTCTTACATTTATATAATGCCTGATCCTTTCAAAGTTCTTTCACACATATGATCTTTATGAAACAAAGTAGATGCTTTATTCTGATATATCCAGTTTCCCACTTCAGGCAAAAGTAGATTAATAGAATGACGAATTCAAAGTAGATGAGGAAAATCAGGCACAGAGAAGTATAGGGATAGAGAGACCCAAATTCACACAAAAAGATAATGGCATCGCCACCGTTTAAATTGATCATCAAAGGCTGGGCTGGATTTGTCTTGCTGTGTGTGTCAGGAAATTTATACCTTTTCCATTTTCTTAAAATAAGTCACATGATTGTAATGTTCAGCTGCAGCTTTTCTCATAACAGTGTCATGAAGAATATTGTAGTGTGAAGTTTGTACATTTCAGGATCAGTTATACAGCATGAACTCATGATGCAAGGAAATGAGAATGAAGGATCATTGAAGGCCATGATAGAAACAAATTTGCATGTTGAAGCCTGTATAAAACATGGTAGAGTGAGTGAATGCCCCCATCCCCAAGAGCACTTTATATATATTAAATGGATATATGATTACTGTGCAAAAGTTCATTCTGGAAATGAATATATATTTTAGCACTAATATGTAATGTACATTTTCTGCCGTAAGGAGAAAATAAATCATAAAACTTGTTTCACATTCAAAATTACTTTCCCGAGCATGTCTTACAATAATCTATGTGTTGATGCATGTAAATTGTATTTTAGGTAGGCAAATCTGGTTTATTGATGTAAAAACTAGTCTAATAAAGTTAGTTGCTTTATCACTTTAAATCTTCAGTGTCTAAAGTGTTGTTTAAAGTAATACTACTGGCACATCAGAAAACCTTTTGTGGACAAAACTAGTTCACTTACTGCTTCTGCAGTTGCTCCCTTTAGGGTTAAAAAAAAAAGGACCCAAATGTCACATGTACTGATATTATAATGTCAGTTACTGTTGTCTGTGGTTACCCACCCTCATCTCTCAAAGGGATAATATTGAATAATTACTAGAAAACTTAAAACTTCACACTTTATAGCATTAAAACCTAAAATTTTAATACTATTTTTTTTTAGTATGGATTAATCAGCTCTCGGGAACATACTCAACATTTGAGTAACAGCAGGGGAAAAAAGCAGTACGTTCTATGTTAATATCTCTTCTCTACCTGATTGTTCATTTAATTTCGGCCTTATTCTTGATAAGGGATTTTACCACATGAAGTCATCTAATGACCCTAGCTCTTAATGTGAAGTTAAAGATTAGTTAAGTATACTTACAAAACATTTATTAAAGCTCATATTTAAAGTAGAGCATCTAGTATGAGAAATGGAAATCAGACAATTAAAAATGTCTTTTTTCTACCCACTTAACTAGTTAAAACCATGACATGTAAATGTAGAAGTAGAATAATCATAGAATTCCCTAAAATATTTCTGTTTACTGACACATCAAGTAAATCAAGCAGGAGAGATTGTCCTTCATTCTGTTGTAGTCCACATCATACTAATTTTGCTCAGTTGTTATTAAGAGCATATTCCTAAACCATACACTTCTGTTTCAATGGAGTTTTATTTTGTTGAGATGAGTAAAATATCCAAGTTATAAGCTGCATAAGACAAAAACTCAATTGTTCAAAAAAATTTACTGGGATATCTTTCTATTATAGGTATTGTTAGATTATATTACTCAGATAAGATTACTTTCTAAAAAAATGTTTGTACTTTACTGTAAATTAAAAGACTATGGAGTAATAAAGTGGCAAGTGTTTTAGGGTTAGCCTAAAATGGGGCATTGTCATAGATTTTAAAGAAGGTCTGAATTAGCAGGCTTACAGCCTAATTCTTCTTTGGACTGGTCCTCCTTGGCAGCAGTTCCTTTTCAGACTTAAACAGAATTCAGACAGATAAAAGTCAAAACAAAACTTTACAAAGCCAAGTGTATTATCTTTTAATCTGTTTTTTTTCCATCATACATGCTACTAGTATGTGCATCAGTATGATAGTCTCATATACATTGCATTAAAAATTAAAAGGTGGCAGCGCAGGGTGAGCTCTTCTGTTATTCATTTGTTCTTTTTTTTTGAGATGGAGTTTCGCTCTTGTTGCCGAGGGTGGTGTGCAGTGGCACGACCTCGGCTCACCACAACCTTCCACCTCCTGGGTTCAAGCAATTCTCCTGCCTCAGCCTCCCGAGTAGCCGGGATTACAGACATGCGCCACCACACCTGGCTAATTTTGTATTTTTAGTAGAAATGGGGTTTCACCATGTTGGTCAGGCTAGTCTCGAACTCCTGACCTCAGGTGATCTGCCCACCTTGGCCTCCCAAAGTGCTGGGATTACAGGCATGAGCTACCATGCCTGTCCTGCTCCTAAAGGTTTTTCAGTCAGTATACAAACTGGTTAGTTTAACTTCATTACCCATTTTATTAAAGTTGATGGATCGTGATGAGGTGCATTTAAGGCCAAAAGCGAAAGATGTTTTTTTATCTCTTGAACACAAGCTTTGTGTTCAAGGTTTCAAATGCTGGTACATTAATACCATAATGTGATGTGTCAGAAACAAAGGGATATTTTAAAGGTAGATATTTGAAAATTCTCTAGTCTCAATGTATGTGTGTATTGATTATACCCTAAAAATGTGCAATTTGCTAGTAGGACAATGCAGTGATTAGCATTAGGTATGTCTCTTTTTTATATTCTAGCTATGTCCCATTTTCTTCTAAGTGCAATCCTTTCATGTTCACTTGCTGTGTTACCCCATCTACTCTAACTTCATTTGGAAGCCTTGTCTAGAGGATAGTATGTATTTTTACCTTTGCAATGAATTGCATGTGCTAATTGTAACCACAGCTATCGTTTTTACATTGACACAACTCCAAATGTTATCTTAAATGTTCTATTATATATCAGCTCTAATCCTTTAAGTAAATTTTAATAAATTCTTGTTCAGATTTTTTCTGTATGTGGTTACTATCATCCGACTATGCATATTTGTAACAGCATTTATCATTAGTGGTGTTAGGTAAACAAGCATCTTAGTGTAAACCAGATGTTTCTTGTGGGTTTTGTGACTTTTTAAATGTTTGACATAATGGAATAGGATTTAAAATACACTATCTTGGCCTTAATAACATAGAATGGAGATAGCAGATTTATTTACCAGTTTTCCAGATTTACTATTCAATAGCTCAGGTCTGAAATCCCAGCATCGTACCTCCCAATGGACTTTTAAAAAAAGAAATCTACTTGGTTGTCAAGGGCCCAAGTATGGAAGTGCTGCGCCATCTCGTGGCCTGTCTGTGCCCACCCCACTCTGCTGGAGTCTCCATCCTTGTTGTGTTAAGACTGAAGCAGATTGATACATGGCATCCTCCTGCTCGCTCTGGAGGTTACTAAATCGTATGTGAAACTAATCAGTCAGCAAGTCCACCTGGAAGGAAAAGAAAATCTCAGCTATTAGATTTATGTGCCTTCACATTGTGATTTTGTCTAAAAAAAATGCAGTGAGTCAAAAAGCCCACAAGCCAGCCAACAGTAAGTCCTTCACATACATACCAGAGTTTATAGAAATAACCTGTCACCTTTGGGCTATGTGCTCCTTTGTTTAAAATCTATTTGGTTATGGCTTATATAGGCTCAAGCCTGATTTCTTTAAGGAGAAGATGTCATCCTAATTTGTGTGATGGATACAGTCCATCTTGCTTTGGAAAAGATTATGAATCTCCTTTAGAGCATTCTCTTTTCCTACCCCAAAGATAGAGAAACAATTTTCTTGTTCAGGATTGCTTAACTTTCCATTTGTGTTTTTTCTTTAATACAAACTTCTATGCTTTAAAACATGAAACATAACTATGTGTAAGCAATTTGGTACTTAAGTCTAGTGCTTGGGCTAGTTAATGGAGTGAACAGAATATGAGCAAAGAGGAGCTGAGGTAGAAGAATGTGTGAAAGCAGCAGGACGCTCAGCCAACTCAGAATCAGGGTGAACAGCTCGAGTCCCTGTTGCTACTGATTGGGGTTGGCTCTTGGACAACCTAGAAAGACCATGGAAAGGCTACTTGGGTTTTCTGTAGCTTAAAAATTCTGTCTCCATCAAGGGAGGAAAATCAACTTTCAACTCAAAATTCAATATTTATTTTTAAATATTGAATTTAAAATTTAAAATTTATTTTTAAATATTGAATTTAAAATTTAAAATTTTTAAGTATTTATTTTTAAATATTTTCCCCAACTACTGAAGATTTTCAACAGATGTGAAGCCAGAGCTTTGTTTTAGAAACCTGTGACATTCAAACCTGATTTTATTAATTATGCACAACACACAGCAGGATATTTATGTATTTGGTATTTTTAGTAGAGATGGGAGTTCACCATGTTGGTCAGGCTGGTCTCGAACTTCTGACCTCGTGACCCACCCACCTTGGCCTCCCAAAGTGCTGGGATTACAGGCGTGAGCCACCGTGCCCAGCCTAAACCTGATTCTTTTATTCTCTGTAACTATGGGTATGTCATTTTAAATGTCAAAAAAGTTTATCTAGGATTGTCATTTCTCATTTTTTAGCTTTTAGTGAGAATAATCTACTCAAATGGCTTTTTATTTAAACATCTATGCATTCTGTATGAAATTGGAGTCTTTCTGGGATAACATGGTGAGATATATGGTGGTAATCTACACATGCAAAAATAAAACTCAAAAAAAAAAAAACCCTCAGGTAAAATATTTCTCTCTTCAACTGTCTCATTAGCCCTGGCTGTGGATGTTTCTTCTGAGACAGACTAGCCAGAGTAATTCAGTGGCCACAAGTGGTTTATCCACCAGAGTACTGGTTGAAACTGAATGAGACAGCCTGTTGACTAGAAGTCTTATACCTCAGTCCAGTCCCACTTTCCTAGAACACTCTTCACTTTGTAACAGGTCCAGGACACAATTATTAAGTATACATCTGGGTCCTGTCCCTGTAGGAAAAGGTTTTCCCTGCAGTCTTGTCCATAGCCAGAAAGAGCCTGTTGACTGACGATGGCTTTTAAATGAACTCCTAAGAAATTCTCCGATTCTGTAAGATTCCACGAGAGGGAGAATACTTGCAAATGAATGGCATGAAGGAGAATATTTAAATAAAAAGGCACAGAGATTCTGACAATAGAAACCATCATTCTGCATAAGCATTCAGAGAATGAAAAGTCAGCCACTCTTCAGGTCACAGTGAGTGTGGATTTTGCCAGTTGTTCAATCTAGACATAGGAACACCAGGGCTATGCAGCCAATATCAATGCCTAGGAAAGGACCCCGAAGAAACTTTTAACTGCCACGGTGAGAGTCGAGACTAGACATTGTTGCGGGGGTGAGAGGCCACATCTCCTCAAACAAACCAGCAGACCTTTCTGATCACCTGCTGGGGCCACATGCCATAGCAGGGTGTCAAAGATGAGCAAATACATGCCCTCTATGAAGTGTTTACTGTGGGTTATTAAATCCTTGGAAACTTAGGAGGTCAATACCAGCACCATTTACAAACACAGTCTCCAAGAGGTTAAAGAACTTGCTCAGGGTCATGTGGTGGACAAACGGTAGAGTTCTAACTCCAATGATCCCAAGTCCACATTCTTTGATGTGTACACCAATTGTACCCAACCACCTCCAGCAAAATCCTTGATGATTGGCATGCCCAGGCTAACTCGTAGAGAATGCACACCTGCTCCCCAGACCCTTCTAACTCTTCTGAGATTCTCTTCCTCTTGTCATCTCCCTCCCCACCACCCTTGTTGGTCAACGTGGGGCACCTCATGCCCTCGAACAGCCCCCCTGCAACTGCCTACCTTGAGGCCTCCTAATTGAGCCTCCAACCCAGAGCAGTGTTTCTCTTTATGCCCTCAAGGTTTACTCCGAGGCCAGCTCCCCATGCCCACTAGCACACACATTTTGCTCTGACCCCATAGAGCCACACATAAAAAAAGAGATCATTGTGTCCCACTGTCCTGAGAATGCCCTCTCACAGGACCCCTAGAGTCTCATTCTTTTAGCCAAAGAAAGACTCTAATGGTGGAAGCCAGCCCATGGCAGCTAGTGACAGGAGGATCTCGGGCAGGGACCTTTTCTGGGTGCTCAGACCACCATCCTGCCCCAGGTGGTTCTGTCCACAGACTTACCCGGGCCCACAACCTAGTGCAAGCCCCCATCCCAGCCTGCCTTGCCTTCACAGTGTCACCAGCCATTCCTCTCCATTTCCTGCCACTCCTGGAGGGGGCCTTCTGCTGCTGCACCGCTGCACTGACCTCATACCCCACCTTTGCTTTCTGTCCTTTTGGGGCCTTGCTGGACCTTTCCAGGCCCCCAGCTCCACACTTTACAGTTTCCAGAACATACTGTTTCTTCTAACCTCCTAACCCATGCTCATGATTTCCTCTTCTAGAGTGTTCTCCAGTCCCCAATCCCTGTTTAGCTGGGAAATTTACTGGTTCACCAAAAATCAACTCAAATAGATACCCTCTTCAGGGAAATCTTCCATTCTCCCCCTCTCTCCCTCCCCCTGAGTTAAGAGCCTTCTGTATCCTAACACCTACTGCTGAGCTCCTGGAGAGAAGGCTGTGGCTTAGTCCTCTCTAGGTCCAGCACAGTGCTTGGTGTAATACATGTTTGGCAGAGCTTGCTTATATGTAGAGGTAAGTGGATGAATAAATAGGTTATTTTTAATTTCAAATAATTGTTTAAAATGTCTCAAGTTTCATCTAATCCAGAGTTGCACAGTGCCATGGGCAGCCAGAAATCTGCCTCCTTTCTACCTCCAATCTGGGATCATTTCCTGATTCCCAGCCCACCCTGACCACAGGCAAGAGCTTTTTTTCCTTGCAAGAGAGAGTCTTGCTCTGTTGCCCAGGCTCAAGCAATCTTCCCACCTCAGCCTCTCTAGCTCAGACTACAGGCAGCACTGCCATGGCTGGCTAATTTTTCTTTTTTGTAGACACAGGGGCTCACTGTGTTGCCCATGCTGGTCTCAAATGCCTGGTCTCAAGCCATTCTCCATCCTTAGCCTTCTAAAGTGCTGACTACAGGCAGGAGCCAACATGCCTGGCAAAAGCTTTCATTTGAATCAAAATATATACTCAATCCAAAAGCAAAAATTTAGAGAAAATTAAAGTCAGGATGGATCCTTACTAATCATTTTGTCCAAACTCCTCATCCTGGAGACAAGGAAAATGAGGTCCAGAGAAGAGAGGCCAGCAAATCTTCCCAACAGCACAGGAGAAAATGCTGGGTTTGTGGGTTATAAAAGGACAGCCCTGCCTTTGGGAAGTTACTGTCTAGCGAAGAAGATGGAGTGAATACCCAGGATCAGGCTCCACCTTAAGAACACATCAGAAAGTGCAAGTAGACTCAGGCCTCACAAACCAGGCTACGACTTACCGCCTGGCCAAATACCAGGTAGCCCCAAATATAAAACAATCCCCCAATTCCTCAATAAGAAGAGCCTAAGAAAAGTTTTTAGACAATTTAACTGTATAAGCTTTATAGATGTTGATTAGTCAGATGTCTGCCTATGGTCCGTATTTTAAATAAGATGATATGGGCTGGGCGCAGTGGCTCATGCCTGTAACTGCAGCACTTTGGGAGGCTGAGGCAGGAGGATCATGAGGTTAGGAGACTAAGACCATCCTGACTAACACGGTGAAACCCTGTCTCTACTAAAAATACAAAAAATTAACTGGGCATGGTGGCATATGTCCCAGCTACTCGGGAGGCTAAAGCAGGCGAAGCACTTGAACCTGGGAGGTGGAGGTTGCAGTGAGCCAAGATCATGCCACTGCACTCCAGCCTGGGTGACAGAGCAAGACTGCATCTCAAAAAAAAAAAAAAAAAAAGATGTGGAACAAGGCAGAAATATAGAATTGATTTTTTTTCCATACAACTCTTCACCTGCAATTGAACACCGAGGTCCTTCCTTGTCATTGCCAG